TGGACATGACTGAACACCAACAACACGTGCCAGGCACTGTGCTAGGCACTGGGGGTATGAGGACAAAGAAGGAAACAATTCCTATTTACACGAATGAGCTGGAATTCAAGATCCAGAGCCATGTGAGTCACTCTCCCCTTCTCAGGGCCTCAGTTTCCTCCTTTGTAAAATGGGGCAATTGGGCTGGAAGGCATCTGAAATCCCTTCCAGCTCTATGACCCTATGGGGAAGTCTCTCTGCCTCTCTAGGCCTCAGTTTCCTTCTCTGAAAAATGAGGGCAGTTGGACTTAATGGCCCCGAGGTCCCTCCTGGCTCTGACATTCTCGGGTTCTGATTCTTCCCTTCGTCTTTCTTTTGGTTCACTTTCCTGTTCACTAGCAACTCCAGCAGAGGGCAGGCAAGGAAAGGTACAGCTGAAGGAAATGCATTTGGTCCCATCCCCCCTTCCCAGTCCCCACCCTGGGAAAATCAGGGCAGTGTCAAACCCTGGAAATCAGGGGCAGTGTCAAACCCTGGAAATCGGGTCAATTTCAAACACTGGAAATCGGGTCAATGTCAAACACTGGAAATCAGGGGCAAAGTCAAACCCTGGAAATCAGGGGCAGTGTCAAACCCTGGAAATCGGGGCAATGTCAAACACTGGAAATCGGGGGCAGTGTCAAACCCTGAAAATTGGGGCAATGTCAAACCCTGGAAATCAGGGGCAGCGTCAAACCCTGGAAATCAGGGCAATGTCAAACCCTGGAAATCGGGGCAGTGTCAAACCCTGGAAATCGGGGCAATGTCAAATGCTGCAGAGAAACCAAGAAGAATGAGGTTTGAAAAAGGGCCATTGGACTTGGCAATGACGAGCTCACTGGTGATTTCTTGTTATTCTCAGCACATGATCCACCGTCTCCCAGGTTTGTTGCCTTCTCTCTTACGGGATGTCCCCCATGCCTGGAATGCTCTCCTCATCTTTGCCTCCTAGCTTCACTGACATTTTAAGACTCTGCTCAAATTCTACCTTCTGCAAGAGGTCTTTCCTGGTCTCCACCCTCATCTCTTTGCCTTGATCCCTAAATGCTAGTGCCTTCCCTCTGAGATTACCTCCCATCTACTCTGGTAATCTCTAGGCAGCTAGGTGGTATGGTGGATAGAGCGCCAGGCCTAGAGTCAGGAAGACCTGAGTTCAAATCTGTCCTCAGACACCCACCGTGTGACCTAGAGCAAGTCACTTCACCCTGTTTGCCTCAGTTTCCTCATCTATAAAATGAGATGGAGAAGGAAATGGCAAACCACTCTGGTATCTTTGCCAAGAAAATTCCAAATGGGGTCACAAAGAATCAGACATGACTGAAATAACTGAACAACAGCTCTGGTAATCTAGTGGTTTGCATGTGTCTCTCTCATTAAAATGTGAGCTCACTGAGGACAAGGACATTCATCTTTGCCTTTTTTCTGTATCTCCAGCACTGAGCACATAATAAGCACTTAATAAATGCTTATCACGTGATATTGATTGACTTTAATGGTGGACTATGAGGCTGGAAAAAGCCAGGGCTTTGCCTCTGGCTGAATATATAACTTTAGCCAATCGTATTTCCAATACATTTTTTTTTTACAATAGTGATCCTAGGATTTTCCTTATCTCCCTTAAGGAGTTTTCTTACAACCTTATAACAAGGTAGAAAGAAATTCCTTCATCACTCTTAGAAGCTTTTTGGCCCTGGCCATTGGATGGAGGTAATCACCACCACATAGAACACAACTAGTCACTGCCTGAGAGATTCAGTTATGCCCCTTGGCTTTATATAAAAAGTCATTGAGCAGCCGTTTATGGTAAGGCATTCCTTTGCCTGTGGAGGAGATTCATGGACTAAGGAGAATGTCTCTCCCTCCTGCCCCTCCCCATCAGTCATGGCATCTAGCAGCAGAGCTACTCCATTCAGCAGCTCGAAAGTCCATTCTAGTCAGCTGTGGAGGAGGAATGTGGACCCTTTTCTGGGATTGAAAAGACCAACTCCTTTACCTAAGTATAAATGGGAGTCTTGGCTCCCTTTACATAGTCTAATAAAACCCCAACTTTCTCTGCCCCAAACTCCTCCCAGTGCCTTCCATTGCAGGGGGCTGGACCTTTTGGCTCATTCCACTCTGCATCTATCGCTTTGCCTGTTTTTCACTCCTTGGAACAAGATGCCCCTGGGCCCAGTACTCCCTGTTCTCTCCACCCCTCAACACACCCCTTTTGTGTGTTGTTTCCTCCCATTAGACTGCAAACGCCTTGAGGGCAAAATTCATGGTATCCCTAGGGCTAAGCACAGTGCCTGGCATATGGTAGGCACTTAATTAAATGTTTCTTGGATTGGATTATCTGATTATCAGATTGATCCTCTGTAAGCATCTAAGGCCCCAGGGTGGGGTGGGACATCTGAGAGTAAGGTGAGGGGTCTCACTGTGAGATCGATGTTTTAGTTTGGGTCAATCCTGAGAGATCAGTTCCTCTCATGGTAAATTCCAAGATATTTTTGTGAGTTCCAACCTTTCCCCCTCCAAGAACATAGAACTTCTATTATAATAATAATAGCAAAAAATAACATTTATATAGTGCTTTAAGGTTTATCAAGCCCTTCATTTATATACTTTCTGATATGATTGTCACAACAATGTTGTATGGTGAAAAAAGAACTGGATTTGGAGTCAGAGGAACTTGAGTTCAAATCCTGATTCTGCCATTTTCTCTCTGTATGACAAGTCACTTCCTCCCTCAGTTTCCTTATCTGTAAAATACGGAGGTTGTATTAGATGGTCCCCTACTATCCATCCCAGCCCTAGATCTCTGACCAACCCTGTGAGGTAGGTACTGTAGGTATTATCATTTCCATTTTACTGATGGACCATTTAACCGAGTGTCATAGAGGTGAAATGATTTACCCAGAACCATGCAACTAGTAGCTTTCTGAGGTGAGATCTGAATCCTATCCTTCCTGATGCCAAGTCCAGGGTGCATTGCACCATGCTGCCTCTAGCCTCTATGGAAGAGAAATCCATTTGGGACTGACCTGACCTGACCAATGGTCGTCTTATAGTAGGGGATCAAGACAGTTGGGAGTTTGCTGAGCAAAGTACAGATGAGATTCAAGGGGAATCGGGGAGCAATTGCTCCAGCTACTGGGGCTTCCTGAAGAATAGGACAACCCCACCCCTGCCCCCTGCCTTTGCTTTCTTCCTAAAGCAGGAAGAACTTTGGTCAGAGTGGAGCTCCTATCACAGGGATTCCTCTGATTAAGAGAACATAATTAGGCTGAAAGAGACAGCAAACTGCTAATTATCCTGTGAAGACCCACATGGGAGCATGTAATTCCCTGGGACTCATGGAGAAGACTGCTTTGAGGACTCTGGTATTTGATGTTATTCCCTACTGTGATTGTCCTGGTTATGTCTCATTCTGTTCACCTGTGTTTTAAAAACATCGTGTAGCATGAAGATAATCTTTCTCTGGTGGACCATACGGTGGGATGCTGCTGCTACAGAATCCCCTGATCCTCTGAGACCCTCCCCCATACCTGCTTCCTGAAAAGGGATACACTGCCAGCTGTAAAGTGGAGGAGGGGAGGCGGGAAGAAAGAGCATCAGCCTAGGAGGGAGAGGGGTTCCAGCCTACGTGCAGCCACTCATACTAGGTGGCTTTGGACAGGCTATTTCCTCTCTCTGGGCCTTAGTTTCCTCATCTGTCAAATGATGAATTTGGAAGATATGGTCTCCTAGCCAACTCAAGAATTCAGCTAACTTTCATTAAATACTTACTGTGTGCTAGGCACTGGGGATACAAAGACAAAAGCAAATTGGCCCTTACCCTTCAAGGAGCTTGCATTCTATGTTGAGCTCAAATATTCGCTATTCTAAGGCCCCTCCCAGCCCTGACACCCCCTGTTCTAAGGTCCCTCCTAGCTTTGCCATTGTCTATTCTAAGACCCCACCTAGCTCTAACATTCCTTGTTCCAAGCCCTCCCTCCTAGCCCTGACATTCCCTGTTCTAAGACCCCTCCCAGCTTTGACATTGCCTGTTCTAAGGTCCTTCCAGCCCTGACACTCCCTGTTCTAAAGCCCCGCCCCCAGCTCTGACACTCCATGGCCTAAGGCTCTTCACAGCTCTGAATGTTCTCTAAGGTTCCTCTTGGCATTCCACAACTCTCCCAAGAGGAGAAAGAGGCTGGGATTAAGGAGGCACCACCAGAAATTTGTCATTGCCCTCTTAAATCCATCCTCGGTGCTTTGTTTATTCTTTCCCTCCTTCATGCCTTTTCGACCAGCAAACACTCCCTCCTGGAAATTCCCTACCATCTCTCTTCTGTCCTCGCCTAGATCCTACCTTTCCTTCAAGGCCTGCCTTGTTCAGTAGAGACTAGAGAGCATTTGCTTGTACCTGTCTCATGGTCCATATCCCTATGACATGGTAGAAAGAGAGACAGACTTGGAGTCCAGAGAGAGGTGGGATGAAATCCTGCCTCTGATATTTGCCAGCTGTGTGACTCTGGGCCAGTCCCTCAGCCTAGCTCTATGCCTCAGTTTCCTCACCTTGAAAATGGGGAATGCCTCCACCAGCTCAAAGGACTAAGGTGAGTATCAAATGAAATACTTGCATAAAATGCTTTGCAAATCTGAAATTACCATATGCTTGTGCTATAGTGGAAAGAATACTGGCTTTCCACTCCCAGGTCAGAATTGGAAATCTACTCTGGTCACTTCCTGTTTGACCTTGGGCATATCCCTTTGCCTCTCCGGGCCTCAGTTTCCTAAGTTGTAAAATAAGGGAGTTGAATTTGCTGGCCTCTGAGGTCCCTTCCAGCTCCAAACCCATGATATCATCATCATTAATCATCATCGTTATTATTTGGGTTGGTTTCTTACCCCTCTATTAAACAGTAAGTTTTAATTATTAGATTATTAATGTTAATTAATATGTATGATATATAATAGATTTAGTTAATATGAATTATTAAACAGGAAGATACCAGGGACTGTGTCTTAGCTAAACTTTGTAGCTCCCCTACCTCTGGGCACAATTCTTTGCACATACTAGGTACTTAGTATATGTTTGTTAGGTGACTAATGCTCCCTGAGCTGTAGGCAACTTGAGGGAAGTGACCACGTTTGGCATATCTCTGTATCTCCCTAAGCAGAGCCCTGAACATTGTAAGTGCTCAGAAAATATTTAGTGAAAGTATTTAATAAACACCTGTTGATTGACCGACTGACTGAAATCTTTCCAGATCTCTTTTGAGCTTTTCTGATCCTCATTTGCTCATTTGACCCTTAACCCAATCTATCCCATTTTACTATGCAAATTCTCCCTGGTCCACTGTTGAGAACTCTGCAACAGGAATTAGAAGAATTCTAATTCGAGAAAGCAGGATCTCAAGATACAAGAGAGCTGGGTTCAAATCCTGCCTCTGCCTCTTGCTAGGTGTGTGACTTAGGGAAGGACATTTTACCACTTCAACTCTCAGTTTTTTTAATCTGTAAAATAGGGGAAATAATCCCTTGTCTTGCCTGTTTCCTGAGGGCTATTGTGAGAACCAAATGAAATCAAAGCATAAGGTAATCAGGCATTTAGGTGGTAGATAAACTACTGGATTTGGAATTGAAAAGACCTGAGTTTGAATCCTGCCTCAAACACTTGTTAGTGTGTGACCCTGGCCAAGACACTTAAGCTGAGAATCCCCAATATCTTCATCAATAGCAATACCCAGGTTTGCTATGATGAGCAAATGAAATAGCATTTGTAAACTCTTTGCAAACCTTGAAGTGCTCTGTAAATGCTAGCTATAATTCCTACTAGAATCATGAAATGTCACACACAGTTGAAAAGGACCTCGGTCCCTACGTGACCAAAACTCCCGCCATCGACAACTTCAACCAGGGATCACCTACACTTTTCTTGAAGGCATCCTATATAATGATCATGGTGAGCAAAGTGTTTGGGAAGCTCTCAAAGTCTTTTGAAGTAAAGGTGTATGAAATAGGCTGTAATCTCCTTGAGGACAGGGCTGTCACATTTGTGTCTTGGAAACGCTCAGCCCAATGCCCAGTACATAGGCAGCTCACTTCTCAGTGCTCAGTTCTAGGTTATTAAGACCATAAGTTGCAGAGAAAGAGTCCACCTGCATGGGGCGGGGGGGCTTTCTCATCTGGGACCTCCCAATGAATATACAAGTCTAGTCTAAAATTGCTGTTACTGTTGTTAGCAATAATAATAATAATAATAATAACAGCTAGCATTTACATAGCATTTTCAACTTTGCAAAGTGCTTTACGAATATTATCTTATTTGATCCTCACAACAACCTTGGGAGGGCAGTGCTATTACAGATGAAGAAACTGAGGCAGGCAGCGGTTGAGTGACTTAGCCAGAGTCACATAGCTAATAAGTGACTGAGGCAGGATTTGAACTCAGGTCCTTGTGACTCCAAGTCCTGTGTTCTATCCACTAGGCCGCCCAGCTGCCATTGTTATTATAACAATTCCTTAAACCTCCTACTAGGGTTATCTTTGATGGATGACCATGTCCTTCACTCTGCCCCTCCCAAATCTCAGCCTTTTGCACCTTCTGTTATTTTACATACATACAAACACACACACATACATGTATATATACACACATGTGTGTATGTTTATATATGACATATATACCTGGGTATATATGAGTGTGTATAAGTACATATGTGTGTGTATATGTATACATACATGTGTGTATACATGTATATATATGTGTGTATGTGTGTGTGTGTGTGTGTGTGTGTAGTCTTCAATCTCCCACCTCCACACCTTTACACAGGCTGTTTTTTGTAAGCATCACCTTCATCTGTCAGAATCTTTAGTTCCCGTCAAGGCTCAATTTCAATTCCTCCTCCATATGGTTAGCACTCCCCTTTCTGAAATTACTTCATTTTTACTTATTTGCAGACACACTTCTTCCTTTTATAGAATATAAGCTCCTTGAAGGCAGAGACTGTTTCCTTTTCAACTCTATCCTCAGGACCCAGCACAACATAGGAGGTAGAAGAGAAACAGTAAGCATGCGATCAATGTTTGTTGAATTGAAATGAACTAATTAGCTCACAGGGATAACCCGCTCCAGGCAGATGTTGAAATTCTTCTTCTGATTAGGCTTCAGTTTCTTCAGAGAGAATCGGGTTTCCCCAATGAACTCATTGTGGCCGAACTTGTCTTCATCACAGACAGAAATCCTGAGATAAGAATGATAATGACAGTTGTAAACGATAACAATAGAGATCATCTAATAGGTTCCATTGCCCAAAAATTAATTAAGCATGCTCTGTTCGGTGCTCTGTGCTGTGAGCTCAGGAAGGAAACATGAAATAAGGTACAATGCCTGCCTTCAAGGTGCTGACAGTCTAGTAAATAACAACAGCTGATATTTACATAAAGCTTTCTTGTCACAAAGCACCTTATACAAATCATAGCATTTAATGCTCACAACTACCCTATGAGGTGAAAGGACAGGTATTATTGTCCTCATTTTACAGATGTGGAAACTGAGGCCCACAGAGGGGAAGTGATTTGCTCAAAATCACACAGCTAGTGAACAGTCTCCAGATTCCCAGTCTATACCCTTTCCACCATCCTACTTGGCATTCAGTTGAAAAAAAGATAAGGATAGGAATAGGGACTGGATTTTTGATTTCATTATTACAGGGAACTCTCTTGTGAGGAAACTCCCTCCACAAATGCAGATTGGCCCCTTCTCTGCCTGAAGGTGTCAGCAGAATTAAGAGATCAAGTGACTTGCCCCAGATCATACTGCGAGTATGTGTCAGAGGTAGAATTTGAACCTAGTTCTTCCTTGATAGGTAGACAAATATCATGGGGTTATAGATCTAGAGTTGGAAGAGATTGTTAAAGTCATCTAGTCCAAAGCGTCAAAGAGGAGGCTGGCCCAAATGTGGCAGAACCAGATAAAGTGTAAACAAACAAACGATAAATAAAACAACAAAACAAACCAAACCAACAATAAAGTAATAAAACTAAAATAAATAAAAGCAAACAATAATAACAAAACAAATAAACAAAAATAAACAATATATAAAAATATAACAGAACATAGATAATGTTAATACATAGATTTCTGAGTCAATATGCCTCTGGCAGGGAACCTTATGTATAGGTTAGTGGCCCCTGTTTTTATCTGAGGTTGACATACTAGACTAGTCCAACTCCGTTCATTTTGTAGAGGAGAAAACTGAGGCCTGGAAAGTTGGAGAGACTTGCTTCAAATTCAATCACTAGTAGGTGGCAGTGCTAGGATTTGAACCTGAGTCTTCTGATTCCAAATCCATCACACTTTCTGCAATGTTCTCCACTTCCCCCAGCACTGGCTAGATTGGACAGAGACCATAAAGAGTAGTTAAAATCCTAAACTGGCTAGTCATTCTCTATCTGACTGGGAACAATTCAATAATTCAATTTATAATTAATTTTGTAAAAGTTGAGGCTGGGTCTCCCTATTCTGCCCAGGCTGGAAGGGCAGCAGCCACACATGGGATCATCCTCACTTTGCACACAAGTTTGAGCTGCTCTTTTTCTAAGTTAGACTGATTTGCTTCTCCTTATGTAGCCTTGCGGCCCCCTGCTCCAGGAGGCTCGCCATATTGGTGCCAGACTGAATGAGAACATCTGATTGGCCATAGCCTCCCTGCAACTCAGAACTCCTGAGCTCAAGTGATCCACCAGCTTCATTCTCCCCAGTAACAGGGATGATAGGCATGTGCCACCATGCCCAGCCCAACAATTCAATTTTTAAAACTATATTAAAGTGGTGCAATGAATACAGCACCGGCCCTGGAGTCAGGAGTATGTGAGTTCAAATCCAGCCTCAGACACTTACTAGCTATGTGACCTTGGGCAAGTCACTTGACCCCAACTGCCTCCAGAAAAAAAAATGTATTAAGAGCTTACTATGTGCCAGGCACTGTTACTAGGCATTGGGGATATAAAGGCAAAAAGGCACTGCCCTCAAAAAGCTTATGTTCTGCTAAAGGAATAGAGTATTTATGTAGAGAATTGAATAGGAGATGATTTGAAGATGAAGAGATTGCTAAGAACTAGAGACATGAGGAAAATCCCTTTAGTAGACCAGTCTGGTTAGAATGTAGAATATTTATCATTTGGTTTTGGCTTTGGAGGGGAGAGGGCATAGGGAACTGGACCCGGGATTTCATTAGTGTAAAGTACTTGCAGTGAGAAAGCTCCATCTACCTATGCAGATCAACAACTATAGTGCAACTTACAGTCTTCTGAGAGATTAAGTGACTTGTCCAGAGTAAGAGAAATGATAATTTCTCTCTTATATTAATAACCAATTATTGAATTAGGACTAAGCTTTCTTTCCTACTTCCTCAGTAAGAAATCAGCCCCTGTAGGTTATTCAGCCAGCTTCTGAAGCTCAGGGCTAATAATGAGATGAAATCCCAACTGGGAAAATTGAGATCTGATCAAGAGGTAAAGAGATTTTGTTCCAGGTGAATTCCAGCCCAATATATTTTAGTCATACAGGTCTGAGTGGAAGTGGACTCCTCCTTTAGCTTAGATTGTCCTAAAAGGGGTAGTCTGGGCAGAGATAAGTCTTTTTGTCTAAGACTGAGTGATCAGAGTCATGCCCTTCTTTGAAATAAGCCCACCTCTCATTATAACATTCATTCTCTTATTCATTGTCAACCAATCAGAGTTTATTGCTGCCTGTCAGGAACACTTACTCTTCCAAGAGAATATAAGCATTGAGAGACCTGTTATGTCTGGTTTTTGGTTTATGAAAGATAGCCAAATGACCATCTTTTTATTAATTATTCACTAGCCATAATTAATAAAATGATTAATTACCCAGAAATTACATCCCTCAAACTTTTTTATATGTCATAAGAGTTATCACAGACAGTATGCATCAGACCTGAATCCAGATCTTCTTGACCCTGAAATTAGCTCTCTATTCACTCTGCATAATACATGAAGAGGAGTATGAAATCAATTTAGGAATATAGACTTGATTCAGACATTGGAGGGCTTCCAATGCCAGGCTGTATTTTATTCAGGGGGAAGAGTCTTGAGCAGGAGAGAGAGAGATGTGCATTAAAAAGATGATTTTGGCAATTGTATGGAAGTTGGGCTGGAGGGTGAGGAAGAGAATGGAAGCAGGGAGACCACGTTATTGCAATAGCCCAGACAAGAGGTGATAGGGTGGTAACTATTTGTGGAGGGGGAAGGGGAAGAGATGCAAGAGATGTGGGGGGGGGGGTTAGAATCAGCAAGACTTAGCAACTGATGGGATATGGGGAGTGAGGGAGAGGGAAGAATCTGGAATGCACTCACATTTCAGACTTGGGTGACTGGCTCTACCTGGCCCAAGAAGACCTCAGCCCAGCCCTGACCCTGATTCCAAATGATCTCAATTCAACTCTTCCTCTCCTTCCCCCATCCTCCTTTCTTCCTTCTCACCTCCTCCTCTACTTTCCCCACCTACCTCAGGGTCTTCCTTTGCATGTCCTCATCAGTGATGCCATGATAGACGAGGGTTTCATTCCAGATGGGATTTCGTGTATTCCTCAGAGTTTTTGTCCTTAACTTGTTGGACTGTGATCAAAGAGGGAAATGTGGGCATTCGACTCAGTGTGGAGTCAGACCATGGAACCCACCCCTTCTGGGAGTTCTCTGGATGTGGCTCCAGGATGCTCCCAATATCTTCTCAAATGGGTCTCTGTTCCCACCCACCCACCCCATCCTCTCAAGGATAGAACCCTGGACAGGATGTCTGCAATGCTGAGTACTGGTCCTATGACCACAGGCAAATGATTTTTACAACCATACGCCTCAGTTTCCCTCTCTGAAAAAGGAGGGTTGGAGTTCAAGGGGACCTTAAGAAACTAATCTAATATCTTCCAATAATAACAACTCACTCTTTTTTTTAGAGCACTTTAAAGTATAGAAGGCAGTTCCACTTCAAGAGACCTGGTGGGTTGGCTGGTTGGTTTTTGAAGAGGACCAAAATGGCATCACTATGTTGGGGTCAAGGTGCAATGTGTCCGACTGGTTAATCAGACCAATGTGAGCTCAGAATACTCTACCACAGGTCAGGCACAAATAGTCCACATGAATATTTGGAGTGGAGATGGCTCTAAATTTACACATCTCCAAGGAGGTAGGTAGTGCAAAAGTTGACATCCCTGTTTTACAGATGAGGAAACTGAGGCTTGGGGAAGTGAAACAATTTGACGATGGTCCTACAGAGAGTTCAGTTTGCTGTGTTGTCCTTTTGGGAGGATACTGACGTTCTGGAGGGCATCCAGAGGAGATAGTGAAGGCCTGTAAGTTATTATATGTGGAGTGGGTTGAAAGATCTAGGGATGTTTAGTCTGTAGGAGGGAGGACTTAGAAGAGGTCACAGAGCTAGAGCTGAAAGGGACCTGGTCATCTAGTCCAACATCCTCACTTTGCAGATGAAGAAATTGAGGCTGATAGAATTAAATGACTCACCCAAGGTCACACGAGTCATGGGCATCAGAGGTGGGATTTGAACCCAGGCCCTATGCATACAGAGCCAGATCTCTTTCTGCTATATCATGATGCCTCCCCTACATGATAATTATCTTCAAATATTTGAAGGGCTGTCCCATGTGAGAGCTCTTAACTTAGTTCCTCCTGGCCCCAGTGCTAGGAGCAGTGGTTGGGATGTGCAAAGAGCCACTTCTTAGCAGCTAGGCTGCCTTAGGAGAGAATGGGTCCTCCTCAGTGGAGGAGTGCTTTTCAAGCAAAGAAACTCATAGGAGCTTATATCTAGGACTGGAAGGGACCTGAGAAGCTATCTAGTTCAACTCCTTTATTTTACAAATAAGGAAACTGAGGCCCAGAGAAGTGAAGAAACTGGCCTAAGGCCACACAGGGGAAAGATTCAAATCCAGAACCTCAGACTCAAGAACCATTGCTTTGCTTTTTTTTTTCATTGCACTTCCTTGGCTTGGAGACTAGGTCCCTTCTGACTCTGAGATTTTGTGTTTCTATGATTCTACGAAGGGTCAAAGGTGGGATTCAAACCTAAGTCTCCTACTCACAATATGAGGGCTGTCTCACTAAGGGCACCATAGGCAGCCAGCAGCTTTTAGAAGACTCATTGCAAAGTTGTTAAGTCAGTGTTAGCCAGAGTAGCAACTAACTTACTATAGCTTGATTTTCCCAGTCAAATCCTGTGTATAGGAAACAGGGACCCACCCTTGACCCAACCTTCCTCCCTTCTTCCCAGTTTCTCCAATAGGGTCCTGTTTCTGGATGGAGAGCCAGGCCAGGTGGCCTAGCCTCTGTTTTTGGAAAGGGTGAAGCTCGGTTCACTCTCTCTCACTCAAGGGGGCTTCACCACCTTGCCCTATCGCATTATTTCTGTGAACGAGGGAGCTATTTTCAGACTCTCTACTAGTGCAGCCTTGGGCTGCTTCCAGGGCCCATCTGCTGGGGAGATGTAAAGAGCCCCCGGCAATATGTTACCTTGCTGGCACCAGGCAGAAGGTGCAGCTTGACATAGGGATCAGCCAGGCCATTGGAGTCCATCGGTTTTAATCCCTGAAAAAGAAACAAGCCAGTGTGAGTGCTGCAATAGGAAGATCAGCATATGATTCCAGACTCTGCTGTTCGCTACTTGTAGGATCTTGGCCGTATCATTTCACTTCTCTGGCCTCAGTTTCCTCATTTGTAAAGTGAGTGAGGTGGACTAGTTGGCCTTTTAAACCCCTTTCAGTTCTAATGCTATGATCTTAACATAAGTACATCATCCAGTCATCATGCATCTATTATGTGGCAAGCTCTGTTCCAGGAGATGGCAGCTTTTGTTGTTGCTGAGCCATTTTTCAGTTCTCTCTCACTCCTAATGACCCCATTTGGGGTTTTCTTGGCAAAGATGCTGGAGTGGTTTGCCATTTCCTTCTCCAGCTCATTTTACAGATGGGGAAACTGAGGCCAATAGGGTGAAGTGACTTGCCCAGAGTCACACAGCTGGTAAGTGTCTGAGGCTGGATTTGAACTCAAGAAGATGAGTCTTCTTGATTCCAAGCCCAGTGCTCTATGCACTGTACCACCTGGTTGCTTCGGGGAGATGAATATACAAAGATTTAAAAAAATGGAACAGTAACTGTCCTCAAGGAGCATTCTATTGTGGAAATCAACATGTGCCCCATGTACACAGACAAGTATATACAAAATAAGTGCAAGTTAATTGTTTTTTCAGGAAGCTAGGTGGAACACCGGGCCTAGAGTCAGGAAGACCTGAGTTCAAATTCTACTTCAGATACTTACTAGCTGTGTGACCCTGGGCAAGTCCCTTAACCGCTGTCTGCCTCAGTTTCCTCATCTGTAAAATGGGAATAACAACAGCACCTCCCTACTAGGATTGTTGTGAGGATCAAATGAAGTAACAATTGTAAAGTGCTTAACATGGTGATTCGCACATAGTAGGTGCTATATAAATATCAACTCAAGATTGATGATGACTATGGTGGTGGTGATGATGATGATGATGATGATTATGAGAATGATGGGGAAGGCACTAGTAGCTGAGGGAATCAGAAAAGGTCTCAGGTAGAAGACAGGGCCTTACCCAGAGATATTCACAATATTTCTTCTATGTCTCCTTTCTTTCTACTCCCACAACTACCACTGGAGCTGAGGCCCCATCACCTCTTGCCTAGACCATTACTAGCTGTGTGACCCTGGGCAAGTCACTTACCTCTGTCTGCCTCAGTTTCCTCATCTATAAGGGATTACTCACCTTACTTCCCTTCAGTCTATGGCCTTCCTGCTGTACCTCCCATGAGACATGACATGCCTCCATGCTTGGTCCCCACCTGGAAAGTGTTCCTTCCACACCTCTGCCCTATTTTTTTTCAATACTCAACTCAAGTACCACTTTCTGATAGGAGAGCCTTTGCCTCGGCCTCTCCTCTCTGTCCTCTACCATCAGAGGTGTCAAAATCATCTTCCAAAGTCCCAGGTCTGACCAAATCACTATTCTACTCATAAACTTTCAGTTGCTCCCACTTGCCTCTAGGATAAAGTAAAAGCTTGTAAGCCTGGCATGAGTCCCTCCATAGTCTGGTCTAACCTACCTCTCCAACCTTATTTCACATTAATCCCCTTCATGTCCTCAAAATTCCAACTGAATTAGACTCTTCTTGGAACTATACCTGTTATTTCCCACCCCCACACATTCTCAAGGCTGTCCCCACCCCCGAAATTCCTTCCTTTCTTATCTCTGCCTTTTAGAATTCTTATCTTCCTTCAAGGCTCTGCTTAGGTGTCACTTCCCCCAGAAAGCCTCGATTTCCCCTCCCCCAGCTATCCATGTTCTTTCCCTCCTTAAATACTCCAAGAGAACAATGACTAGGTCTCTCCTTTGCTTCTTGAATGTCCCACTCTATATTACTTGGGTGGGATATTAGAGACCAGTGTCCAGTGTTCACCTTCTGAGCCCCAGTAGGACTTGGTCCCTTTCCAATTTTCAAAGGAGGTGAAAGAAGAGAAGATGCATGCCTTTACAAAGTAAAGGAGAATGAGAGATGTGAAAGGGTGATATTGCCCCACATGCTGCTGCCACTGCTGGTGACCAATAAGCAAACTGGTGGGAGAGAGCATGTAGAGAAGAAAGGAAAAAGAGGGTAACTGAACTCTGATGCAGATGCTAAATGGCTAGAGCCACCCCTGTGGCTGAGAAGCAAACTGGTAGCAATCTGTATTTATGTAGCCTTTGCTTCACGCTGACTGATGCTTTTCTGAGAGAACACAGACTGCACCCCCACCCCTGTTCGTTTTGCTGTTTTCCCATTTGTTGTTTTTCTAAATTAAAGAAACTGGTTTCTCTAAGTTGGTTTCCCAGCCACTTCCACACCACACTGCTTGCAATCTTTCCATCATTCTTATCTCCTTCCCTCCCTCCCCAACTGGAGCCTTGGAGTCTACTCTTGGGATGCCAGGCTCTGGCAGGGAAGCTTTAGTCTTACCTTAACTGCAATCAGACCTCTATACCACTGTCCGGGAGCCTTCCAACATAATGCATACTACCCCATTCCAGCTCCCCTTTATGTATTGCCTTCCCCCATTAGAATGGAAACTTCTTGAGGGAGGAAATACTTTACTTGCTTGTATTTGTATTCCTAGCACTTGGCTCAATACCTGGTACACAGTACTTAATAAAGGTTCTACCTACCTACCTACCTACCTATCTGTCTGTCTACTTACCTACCTACCTATCTATCTGTCTATCAATCTGTCATCTCATAGTCACTCATTTTAATGACACTGATCATGTGTGCATGTGTGTGTGTGTGTGTCCTTGAGAGTTAAATAAAGCTGAGAGGGAGTGATGCATATCAAAGATTTTATACCAAAATATTTTTGATAGAAAAACAAAGGTAGTCTCACAATTGCTGAAAACACCAGCTGGGGGCTGAAGATGAACAAAAGAGATTTTATTGATTTATAGTTCTATAACCTCCCAAAGCAGAAAACACACAGACTCAGATCCCTTTAGGCAAAAGAGCCTGAGCCCAGCAGCAAGGTAAAGAAGGTCCATTTTCCCCTCCCTCTCCATCTTTCCCTTGGTTTTATCCATGGGAAATTCAAATACTGTAGGTCCTGGTGGAGGGGTGTTAATGAGAGAGAAAGCCATCCCACTAGGGAGGAGCTAGGAACGTCATCACAACTAGTTCTCCTGCTCACCCATTTTTACCTTCTACCCCCCACACTACCAGATGCATTCTTCCCCCTGCCAGATTATATGCATCTGTCTATGCTGTGTCTCCCCAGTAGAAAACAAGCTCTTGAGAGTAAGGGAAGATTCCCTTTTTAATTTAGGTCCCAGATATTAACTCAGTGGATGCTTGACCAGTGTTGAATTACTGAATCAAATCAAAATGAGGCAGGGAAGGAAGGCATTTTGATATGACTCCACAGGATCGAAAACATCCTGCTATAGCAAGAGGCTTATGGGATAATACGCTCATCATTCTAGAGCTTGAAAGAACCTTATCACGTTACTGTGAGAAACTTAGGGGATAATGGGCTCATCGATCTAGAACCTGAAGAAACTCCGGAGGCCACCGTCTTGTCTACCCCCTCCCATTTTACAGATGTAGAAACTGAGTCTCAAAGAGATTAAGTCAGCCAACCAAAAGCATTTATTAAGTGCTGACTTTCCTTAATTCAAGTGCTTTCTCTCTCATAATTATTTCCCGTTTATCTTGTATATAGCTTGCTTTGTATATATTTGTTTGCCTATTATCTTCTCCATGAGATTGTAAGCTCCTTGAGGGCAGGGACTGTGTTCTGCCTTTTTTTTTTTGTATTCCCAGCACTTAGCAAAGAGCCTGGTACATAGTAGGTGCTTAATAAAGGTTTATTGAATTGAATTGAACCCTAGCTGCAGCCAGATGTCATACACGGGGATGTGACGGCCAGATGTTAATCTTAGCCATACTGGAAAGCTACTAACAACCCAAGGATACCTTAAGGTCATGAACAGAAAAGGGGCTGGCACAGACCAGAAAAGAAAACCCACCAAGCCTCAGTTAACACCCTTCTTTGATGAAAACTGAGAGCTGTCTGGATATGATCAGGACAGAGAGTTGAGCCTTGGGTCTCTTGGGGGAGGCCAATGTGTAGGGCAGAGCCCCTGCTCCCATGCCTCTTGACCTTCTTGACCCCTCAGGAATCCAAGTTAATTACCCTGACTGTCATTGGTGTCCAGGGAGATACAACCAGATCAGAGGCTAGCAGGTTCAATCAGCAGATCCGGCTCCCAGGCTGACACCATGGAGAAATAACTGTAGCAAATCCGTCATCCGGATGTAGGGAGGCTAATTACAGCCATGCCACTTCTCTGCTAAACTCTTTTCCTATGGTCTGATCAGAGCTGAGCTGGCTATCACTCGCTTCAGGTCCCCCAGGCTCATGCCAGGGGCAGCCCAGGCTAAGTTAAGCCTTCCTGCTCTGACACTGAGCAGCCTAGCATCTCTTCCTCCCAGCACATTCCCTGGAGAAATACTCCCACAAAGTAATTCAATTTGGTCATTCGCTGCCTGGGCCGTCAAATTCCCATCATGTCACCAAGCTGCCTTCAGGTGGGAAATGAAAGGGGAGATAAGAGGGCCAGCTGCCTATTAACCCGTGTCTATAAGCTACAGACCCATCACTTCCTCCAGAGAAAGTTAATGAGGAAGGTGGTGTGGTATACAGGGAAGAGAAAAGAGCTAGATGGGGGTCAGAAGAACTGGCTTCTAGCCACCATCGGCAGTTAACTAATCATGTGAAAATGGGCAAACCAAAAGATTTCTCTCTAAGCCTCAGTTTCCTTAGCTGTAAAATGTTGACAATATCGCCTGCCCTTATTTCGAAGAAAGCACCCTCTTACGTGAGCTATGAATACTGCGGTCGTGATTCCAATAGCTAACAATTCTAATAGTCAGCACTTATATATCACTTTAAGGTTGGCAAAGCACTTTACATATTATCTCTCATTTGATTCTCAAAACAACCCTGGTAGGGAGATGCTATTATTATCCTCATTTTACAGATGAAGAAACTAAGGCAGACCACATTGAAATGACTTGCTTAGGGTCACACAGCCATTAAATGTCTAAAGTAGGCTTTGAATTTAGATCTTCCTGACTTCAAATCCAGTGGTCTATTTAGTATACTATTAAGCTGTCTCTAGGCAAGCTCCTGCTATATTTATCATTTATTGATTTTTAAAAAATATTTGGCATCCAGAGGAGAGCAGCCAGAATGGCAAAGGGTCTCCCGTGCATGATATATGGGACTGATGTAGGAAGAGGAATGTTTAAACTGGAGAAAGAAGCCTCAGGAGATGTACTAGCTGTCTTCAAGTATTTTAAGGACTGTGAAGGGGAAGAAAGATTAAAATTGTTCAGTTTGGTTCCAGAGGGCAGAACTAGAAACAGGATGTGGAAATTGCCAAGACACCAATTTAGGATTGATTTCAAGAAAAATTTCCTTACAATTACAACCAGTGGGAGTCAGCTCATGCTGGTCTATGAGAGCAGATGGTTAAATTTTCAATGTGAGCCCTTACACCTCAGAAATCAGTAACCACTTCAAATCAGGGTTTGATTTGTTGTGTTTTTAAGATTGTCTAGCTGTAAGAAAGTGATAAAGAAAATTGAATGATGCAGATTAAACTTCAAAGTAGATCACATAGCTAGTAAGTACCTGAGGCAGGATTCTAATTCAGGTATTCTTGACTCCAGCTCCACTGTTCTATCCACTGTACCACCTAGCCACTTTTCATTCCACATAGTCTGGTGATTAAGAGCATGGCGATATCTATCAAAACTTTTGTGGTTGCTGTTGAGTTGTGTCTGACTCTTTGTGACCTCATGTGAGGTTTTATTGGCAAAGACACTGGAGTGGTTTGCCATTTCCTTCTCCAGCTTATTTTACAGATGAGGAAACTGAGGCAAGTAGGGTTTCATGACTGGTCCAGGGTCACACAGCTACTAAGTGTTTGAGGCTGGATTTGAATTCAAGTCTTCCTGACTCCTGGCACAGCACTCTATCTACTGTATCACCTAGCTGTCCCTATTTTTTAAAAAAGTGTTCTTAGAAGTTCATGTATCAATGTTATGTCCAGGTTGTGAGCAACATTTCTGCCTGTAAAGCTCTTCCACTCTGTATAACCGAATTGTTGAAATATTAAGGACATTTGGCTTTTTGTCATTGTCCTGTAAGCATCCATCATCTGTTAGTTTTATGCATTTCTGGTATAGAATTCTAGCCACCTGATCATGTCTTTCTAGATAATCAGTTCATGCTCATGTGTCTTTTTTTGCAACCTGCTGGGACATAGACACACTTGCTGCCATTTCATTGCATGATCTTCATAGGTCAATAAATTCAGGCTTTAAAAAAAATCTTTTTGTAATTTCTGGTGGCAATGATCTGATCCTGATTCCCTCTAATAAACCTCTATATTTCTGTAAACGAATCTACGTGACTCAGCCATTTGTTTGATGCTTCTCTGTCAATACAGTGACTGGTACAGTAGAGTTGACATAGTTGGTTGAGTTCGTGGGGATTTTGTCCATAAGGGGCCTTCTGATTCTACTCTTGGATCTTAGCTATCTCATAAGCTCTATTCATAGATAAACCACTTTCAGTTACATTAGATTGTGAGCTCCTCAAGGGCAGGAACTGTCTGCTGCCTTCCTTTGTAAGCCCAGTTCATAACACAGTGTCTGGTACATCGTTGGTGCTAAATAAATGCTGTTACCTGAAGTGAGGTCTGTTGCTACAAAAATATTTCTGCAAATTTTTACACTGCATATCATGTACTCCAAGTATATCTATCAATGCCCTTCCCTACTTTTGACCAGCAAGTGTTCATCTTTCTGTAGCTGCCTTGGGATGATAAGCAATTATTTTTTTCCATGAACATTTTAAGAGTTTGAATCTGGATACCTTCTAAATCCATTGTTGTCTATTTTACCATGTGATAGGTATATGTTAAGACTGGTATTTTGATACAGTGCAGGTTGTATCCCATCCACACCTTCTCATTCTGTGCACCTCTTGTCAATGTCTTCCCATGTCCCACCTTCCACTAAGGGGCCATCCAATATGCTGGGGATCTTCCTTTTAACCCTCGGACATCATGTAGATATCAGTGGAGCACATGCAATGCCCATTGATCATTTTTAGCTCTTGTTTTTTAGCTAGCCCACCTCCCTTTCTAGTTACACACTTCTTTGATAATATCTTTGCATACTCTAATGCAGCTAGGTGGTGCAACAGCAGACAGAGTGCTGGGTTCATCTCTCTGAGTTCAAATCCAGCCTCAGACACTTACCAGCTATGTGATCCTGAGCAATTCACTTAACCCTGTTTGCCTCAGTTCTTTCAAGTGCAAAATAAGCTGGAGAAGGAAATAGCAAACCACTCCACTATCTTTGCCAAGAAAACCCCAAATGGAGTCACAAAGAGTTGGACACTACTGAAAAAAAATGACTAAACAACAAAAAGTATATTTCAGTTTATTCATGCCCATCATGTGTCTCCCCATTGTACTCTGCTTTAATTCTTAGGAAACTGAGCATCCCAAATATTGATTAAATTCAGCTCAGCATGCCTTTATTAGGTGTCTTCAAGTATTTTTAAGCCATCTGGCTATTAAAAAGTTCAGAGGAAGCTTTTTGTCATGTTGGGTAGATTCCACTATGAAGAATCAATGTAAGCATGTGGTCATTATTCAAAGGATGAGAAGGCATGGACTGATGATGATGATGATGATGATGATGGTGGTGGTGGTGGTGGTGATGGTGGTGGTGATGGTGGTGGTGGTGATGATGATGATAAGGACAGGAATAATTACAAGAGGAAGAAAGTAGAGAGAGAAAAAGAGGGAGAAGGTAGAGGAAAAAGAGCTAGCATTTACATGGCATTTTGAGGTTTGCCAAGTGCTTTACATACTATCTCTAAATAGCAATCTATCTCCTTGGGGGAAATATCCAAGTTGATGAAATCATAGATCCATTCAAATATCAAAACATGATCAATTAATTGATCTGCAAACATTAATTTAGCACCAGCCCCTTGCCAGGCACTGTGCTAAGTACTGAGGCTATAAAGAAAAAAACTAGATCGTTTCTGCTCTCCAGGTATTCATTTTGAGCATAGGTTAGATTAGACCAGATGACAGCTGAGCTCCTTCTAGCTCCTAAAGTCATCCGATTCCATGATTTCATGAACTTACATTCTATCAGAGGAAATAATATATCTATATTGAAATGGATACAAAATATACAAAAAAAAGGAAATACAAAATAAATACAAGGTATGTGATGAAAAGGAAGAGAAACATTAATCACTGTAACCCTAGACCCCTGTCTACCCAGTACCACCTAGGAGGTTAGGGGCTTACCTTGGCCTTGATAATGGTGCATTGCAGGGAGCTGTTGTTCTGATCATAAAGAAGGCTGAACTCCAAAGCTCCCAGGGTAGCTGATGGGGAGGAAGAGATAAGAATCAGAAGAGAAACAACGAACGCTGGGCAGAAAAAAAAATGAGCCAGACCCATCCAAATGCCAATTCCATTTTGACGTTCCAGATCGCAGACACAATCACATTGGCAAACAGCCTCCATGGTCCTGTGGGGCTTAAGAAGGAAGAGGATCCGAACTATGTATTATGAATGACATTTGTTTGGGTGAGACTGTGAGGTTGGACAGAAACACATGTCAAAGAGTGTTGGATTTGAAGTGTAATGTTCAGGGTTTGAATTTCAGCTCTACTCCTTAGTTAGGCTTCAGTTTACTTGTGAACTAGATGGCTGCTAAAGTCCCTTCTACCTCTAAATCCTAGGGCAGCTCTACCTTCATGCCCTGTATCAATTAATCAATAATTAATAATAAACAATAATAAAATCAAATAATAATTAATCATAAAGGACCTACTATGTGCCAAGCACTGTGCTAAGTGCTATACCTATTTACTCTACAAAAACATAGTCGTAGCTTCTCCTGTGGGCCCCAAATTCTGCACTTACTTCAAGAGCAGTATAGAAATAACGGACATTTATGTAACCCTTTAAGAGCAGTTTATACCCATATCACCTCATCGGATCCTCACAGTAACCCTCGAGCCACAGCTTGATTATTTCCACTTTGTTATTGCTATTCAGGAGTTTTCAGATCTGATCAACTCTCCACGACCCCATTTGAGGTTTTCTTGGCAAAGAAGTGGTTTGCCATTTCCTTCCCCAGTTCATTTTACAGATGAGGAACTGAGGCAAACAGGGTTAAGTGACTTGCCCAAGTAGTAAATGTCTGAGGCCACATCTGAACTCAGGAACATGAGTCTGCCTGACTCTAGGCCTAGCACTCTATTCACTGTACCATCTAGTTGCTCTTATTCCCATTCTACAGATGTGGAAACTGAGGCTCAGAGATAGAAGGGACTTACCTAGGGTCACACAGCTAGTAAGGGTTAGAGGCAAGAATTAAATCCAGGTCTTCCTGCTGCCAAATCCAGTCCTCTGGTTCTGGCTGTGAAACCTTGGGGAGCTCCCTACCCCTCTCCAAAATCTCAGTTTCTGTATCAATAAAATGGAGGAGATAATCTGTACTCTACATAATTTCCCAGAATTCTGAGGCTCAAGCAGATGTGAAAGTGCTCTGTAAACTGTAAAATTGTAATAATTATTAAGGCCCAACTCGAGACTCACCTTTTTCCATAAAACCCCACTTAATACTACTCTATTCAATTTTTTGACTCTCTTTGATTTCCTTTTGTACTGTTACATAGATATCTCATTTCATCCTCACAACCACCCTGGGAAGTGAGTGTTGTTATTATCTCATTTTACCAATTTTACTGACTGAAGCAATCAACAAATCAATAAAGTTATTAATCTCCTACTTTGTGCCAGGCACTGTGCTAAGCCTTGGGAACACACACACACACAAAAAGCCAGAGACAGTCCTTGCCCTTAAGGAGTTTACCATCTAATGAGGAGAAGTGGTTAAGTGATTTGCCTGCTGTCACATAGTAAGAGGCTACATTTGCATTCAGCTGGGACAAGACTGAAAATGAAGACCACTTATTATTTGGGATGTTCTGTTGTTTAACCAATGTTTGGTATCTTTTAATGGATAGTGACCAGCGACCTAGTGTCTTTTGTTCTGAACCAATCATGTCCTTAGATCAGCAACATTTACAAGGGCAGAGAGATATAATTTTAATTCAGGACTCCTCTTTCAGAAGAGAGAGTCCAATGGCCAGCCTCATAGGCCCTTCCGTCCTCTTCTTTTCCTCTCTTGAACCTTCACATCTCTACCATTCATTCATTCATTCATTTGTTAAACATGTATTAAGCACTTACTGTATGACTAGCATTGTGCTAGGTGCTGGGGAGACAGAGACAAAAATGAGGCTCAGCTATCCTGAGCTATACTGATCAGTGGGCAAGAACCTAACCCATTCAATCTAGCCAATCCCAGACTCTGCTTTACAGCCCAGTTAGCTAGCTGCAAATTCATCCCTGCAGTACATGTACTGTTCCTCCCACCCCCAATCTGGTAGCGATAATCAAACTAATATGACCTTTGCTACTGGAAAGAGCCTGACGACCAACTCCCTATGACTCTACAAGCAATGTCTGGGACAGCCTACACCAAAAAACCCTTCTCTGGTCACCACTCTCCAAAATGTACTGTCTACCCACACCCCGCTACCTCCAGCCATAAGAATGTACACTCCTTAAAGGCAGGGACTGTCTCGGTTTCATATTTGTGTTTACCTTAGCACAGTGCCTAGCACACAGTAGGTGTTTAATTGCATTTTCATTCATCCATTAGTTCATTTGTTCCTTCCCTCTCTTTTCCTTACTTTTTTCTTGCCCTTTCCCTTCTTTCCCTTTTCTTTCCTTTCTTTTATCCCTCCCTCCCTCCTTCTTTCCCCTTCTTCCTCCCTCCTCCTCTCTTCTTCCCTTCCCTACCCTGCTCTGCCTTTCTCCTTCCTCCCTTCCTCCCTCCCTCCCTTCCTTCCTTCCTTCCTCCTTCCCTCCCTTCCTTCCTTCCTCCTTCCCTCCCTTCCTTCCTTCCTTCCTTCCTTCCTTCCTCCTCCCTCCCTTCCTTCCTTCCTTCCTTCCTTCCTTCCTTCCTTCCTTCCTTCCTTCCTTCCTTCCTTCCTTCCTTCCTTCCTCCTTCCCTCCCTTCCTTCCTTCCCTTCCTTCCTTCCTTCCTTCCTTCCTTCCTTCCTTCCTTCCTTCCTTCTTTCCTCCCATTAAAGCAAAGTCAGAACTTGGTTCTCTGATTCTTCCTATCCTAGTTTCCCCCCAAATTTCTTCCTCATGCCCTTCATAGGCTCCTTCCCAATTGGGCCCCAAGCTCTGTGGCCCTAATACAGAAATTAGCTTCCTTTAAAGGCTGTGAGAAGTTTTCCCAGAGAAGCCTCCTCCCTGGGAAGCTGAATAATTCATCATCTCCAAAGCTAGACTTTTTTTTTTGCCAGTCTATTATTTACAGTTGAGAAGCCACCGAGTCATTGCCTGGGCACCATGCCCCACTCCATTACTTATTTAGCAGCCATTAGAAGCACTTCGTTCTGAGAACGTGGAAGGAGTCTTGCTGGGCACTGGATGGAAGCTCTCATCCCTTCAAAGTGATGGTGCCCCCTTTTCTGCCCTGGAGAACACGGGAGGCCTTTATCAGGCCCCTCACCCCACCCCAGACGTGGCTGCCCACTGAGGCCCACAAACTCAGAGCCAAACCAACTTCTACATGTACACTCCCCTGCACACAACATTGGGGTCCCTGTGCTCTCTCTGTCTCTGGGGGAAATACACATATGCAGTGCACCTCTATCTATTATCTATGTCATTTGGTTGTTTCAGTTGTGTCTGACTTTTCATGATCCCATTTGGGATTTTCTTGGCAAAGATACTGGAGTAGTTTGTCATTTCCTTCTCCAGCTCATTTTACAGATGAGGAAACTGAGGCAAAGAGGGTTAAGTGACCTGCCCAAGATCACACAGCTCTAAATTGTCTGAGGTCAGAATTGAACTCAGGAAGATGAGTTGTCCTGACTTCAGGCCCAGCACTCTATGCACTATGGAGCCACCTACCTGCCCTATATTATTTACATCTATGTTCTTTCTCTCTCCCTCCCTCTCTTTCTATTTCTCTCTTGTCTTTTTCTGTCTCTTTGTTTCTGTCTTTATCTCCGTCTCTCTTCCTGCAAGAATAAGATGAGATAATATTTGTAAACCATTTTTGTAAACCATAATTGCAAATCATAAAGTGTTACAGAAATGCTATTATTATTTTCAATATACCTCCATTCATCTTAACCAAGTTCCTCTTTTTCCCTTTAAAGAGTATAAAAGTTTTTTTAGCCTTGCGCTAAAAGTTTGCCCTCAGAATTCCTTTCTGTATTGAACTCTCTCTCTCTCTCTCTTTTCCCCTCTTTCAGCCATAAATAAAAAGCCATGCTTTGATTGAGCTTGAAATTCCAATGCTGTGGGTTAATTATTTGTCACAGTATTGTACTTTCAGAACTACAGAGCCAAGCCTAGACATTTTCACACACACTCATTCATATTCCCTTATACTTTTGAATAAACAACACTGTACTATGTGGGGTAGATCATTTCTTATTTCTGGGTCTCAGCTTCCTTATCTATCAAATGACAGAGGTTAAGCTCTAGGTCATATAATCAAAGAAGGCTGGAGGGGACCTCACAGATTATCCAATCCAACCCACCCCCCTCTCCATTTCACAGAGAAACTAGCCTATGGGGGAAGTGACTTGTCCAAGGTCACACACCTCTATGTTCCTATACTCACACCCAACATGCTCTCTCACAAATAACAACGGACTTCTAGAACACATAGACTTCTATGCACACACCCTACCCCATCCCAAGACATGCTTCCTCAAATAGAACTCCTACAAGAAACATCTATACTCACCCTACTGCCCTCACACACTTGCACATATAATCTCAGCACACCCATGTCCATGCTCAGATACCCCCATACAAACAAATACCCACGCACATATTCCATAAACTTTCCTCCCAGAAAGCATGGTTGAATCTCCATGGCATAGAGGTAGAATGCTGTCAGTAGATAGAATATTGGGCCTGGAGTTAGGAAAGAAAGCCCTACATTTGAGCTTTGCCTCTGACACCAGCTATGTGACCGGGGCCAGTCAATTAACATCTTATTTTCCAAGCAATTCAGAGACTATAAATTACAGGAAAGGTGCTAACCTATAATGGTAAAGGGAGTCTCCTCAACTGGGAGTGCCTTGCACCATGAAAACAGACGTCCATTTCCTAACCCCAAAGAGCACTTTACAGTTTGCAAAGCACTTAATCTCCATTATCTTCTTTGTGTATACTGCTTTACAACCTTAAAAGTGCTACAAGGTATCAGTTTCAGTTGTTGCTGCTGCTGCTGCTACTGTGTTTATTATACTACATTGGCTCTGCCCATAGGTTACTAAATTTCTCCAGGAGATTTTCCACAGCCCAGAAGCATCCAGGGTTCCTCCTGACTCTTCTCTGATAGGCAGATTAAGGAGGCATTCTTACAAGGTCAGATTCACTGCCACAGGGGTGTTCTAGAGAGGGCAGAGGAGGAGTGGAGGGAAAGTTTCCTCTCCCCCTCTTTCCCCATTAGAGCTACAAAAAGGAGACAGACTGATGGACCTTTTTCCATTGGAGCATTTTCCATTAGAGGAGGGGATAGGATAGCACCTCTTCCAGGAAGGCTTTCATGATGACTTCTCTCTACCATGGTCTTTTCCTCTTTGACAGTCCACGTTGGTACGGTGTCATGGTGGAAAATATAGGTTCATAGTTATTATCACATAATTGATGCTTTCCATATGCTCATTCATTCATTCATTCATTCATAGGACCATAGCTCTGGAGCTAGAAGAAACCTTAAAGACCATCAATTCAAGCCCTTTCATTTTATAGATGAGGACCATAAGGCACAAAAGTTAAGTGACCTTTACGGCTGGCTCTCTACCTACCATACCCTTCTTCCTCTCCAAGGTTTTTGGACTCTAATCCCAACACTCTTATCATGACACTATGCTTGACAACAGACTAGCCACATCCCCAAGGTTCAAGGTCATTGAGTAAAGTTTCCAGGAGCTCTAGCTTCCCTATTCCTCTTGCTATCAAAAGTAACCATGGGGCAGGGGACTTCTCTGGGCCCTGAGATAGATAAACACCTGGAGGTTCTCTCTACTAGTCTCAGTCTGAAAGACCACCAACATCTTCTTCCTCTTCCAAGCACCATCCTTGTTGCAAGAAAATGAGACCCACCCCCAATGATGCACATGAAACTCCTCAACTTCTGGTGACTCTTAGGTCCGCAATAAAGCTGAAAGGGACATTAAGAAGTCACCTTGTTTTGTTTTGATTTTCTTTTCCTGGGTATTTTAATTTTATTTCCCCCCCCCAATTTATTTATTTTTAGCTTTCAACATTCACTTCCACAAGATTTTGAGTTCTAAATTTTCTTGCCCTCCTTTCCCTCCATCCCATGATAGCCTGCATTCTGATTCCCCCTTCACCCAGTCTGTTTGCCCTTCTATTTTCCTGCCCTTATCCCCTTCCCCTTCTATTGTCCTGTAGGGTAAGATAGATTTCTATATCCCTTTGCCTGTGTATCTTATTTCCCGGTTGCATGCAGAATCAATTTCTTTCTTTCTTTCTTTCTTTCTTCTTTCTTTCTTTCTTTCTTTCTTTCTTTCTTTCTTTCTTTCTTGGCAATTGGGGTTAAGTGACTTGCCCAGGGTCACACAGCTAGTAAGTGTCAAGTGTTTGGTCTGAGCCTGGATTTGAACTCAGGTTCTCCTGACTTCAGGGCCAGTGCTCTAACCACTGCACCATCTAGCTGCCCCCAGAATCAATTTCGAACATATGTTTCCAAAACTTTGAGTTCCAAATTCTCTCCCCTCCTCCCTCCACCTACCCTCATTGAGAAGGCAGGCAATTTGATATGGGCCATACATGTGCAGTCATGCAAAACACTTCCATAATACTCACGTTGTGAAAGACTAAGTATATTTCCCTCTATCTTATTCTGGTCCCCATGTATTCTATCCTCTCCTTTGTCTCTATCCTTCCTCAAAGTGTTTGCTTCTGATTACCCCCTCCCCCAATCTGCTATCCCTTCTGTTACCCCTCCCTCTCTTATTCTCTTCCCCCCTACTTTCCTGCAGGGTAAGATAGATTTCCATACCCAATTGGGTGTGTATGGTATTCCCTCTTTAAGCCAAATCTGATGAGAGTACAGTTCACTCATTCCTAGATGTCATTTTGCTCAACCCCTTAATTTCACATATTTGGATAGAGAGGTATGAAGAGAAGTGAAGTAACTTATAGGATCATAGCTCCAGAGGTGAAAGGACCACTGGTGGTCTTCGAGTCTAATCCCTTCAATTTTACAGATCAGGAAACTGAGGCACAGAGAGATTAAGTGATCACAGTAGGTATCTAAGGGTGAGATTTGAATCCATTTCTTCCTGACTAAAAGTTGAGTGACCTGTCCACCATGCTATAGTCCATAGCCAGTCAGCAGTCATGCTGCTCATAAGGGATTTGAATCCAGGTCCTCTGACCCCAGATCTACCACAGCTATCATTCTGCTCTTCTGCCTTCTAAAGCCAGAATCTCTGAATGACCATATCTCAGAGTTGGAATGGACTTCAGAGGCCAGGTAATCCAGGCCTTACTGGAATGAGAATTCACTCCTGACAAATGGTCATCTAGCCTTGCCTTGAAGATGTCCAGTAAAGGTGAACCTGCCCCTTCCCAGACAGCCTGTCTCATTTTTGCACAGCTGTAATCCATAGGAGGCAGTGTGGTATAGATAGAGAGCTCTGACACCCCACCTCCCTTGGTGGGCTGGGCAAGGCACTTAACCTCTTAATACCCTCATCAGCTAGGACCATTAGTTGTGGAACAAGTAGTGATTTGCACTAGTGGAGGGAGTTTCCCTGCTGGGAATTCCCTGCACAAATGAAATCCAAAAACAAAATTATGAAGTTTTCCTTTTCACCAAGCTTAAATTTCCCTCTCTATAACTCCCACTCACTGCTTCTAGTTCTGCTTTCTGAGGCCAACCAGAGTAGTTCTTCCCAGGCAAGCTTGAATGTTACCTACTTGCTTCATCAGAATCGTAGCTGTTTGCCTCTTCTTCATCTTCTTCTGGAGGTGGCAGCTGCTGACGGGCTGGGGCAGCAGCAGGCTGGGGTGCAGCAGCTGCCTGGGAGTAGGTTCCTGATCGTCGTGCAGCCCTATCATCCTTGGCTCCAGCTAGGGGGTAACCCCCTGTATCCCCTGCTCGGTCATCCCGGGGAATGGCTGCTGCTGAGGGGTAGGCAGGCTCCCCTTGGGCCAGATCCCCCTGAGCTGGAGGGAGAAAGAGTATGGATAGTGAATGGCTTTAGAAACATGGGGTTTCATTCATTTCTGCAACAAATATTTATTAAATAGAACCCTGTATTCAGCACTGGAAATAGACAAAGCTTACATGAGACAAAATTCCTACCTTCTTGGAGCCTTACTTTAAATCCTAACTAAAATCCATCTTCTAGAAGCCCTGCCCAGCCCCTTTTAAATTCTAGTGACTTCTCTATCTTAATTATTTCCTGTTAATCCTGTATATAGCTTGTTCTTACATATTTGTTTGCTTGTTGTCTTCCTTATTAGACAGGAAACTTCTTGAGGGCAGGGACTATCTTTTCCCTCTTTTCATATCCCCAGTGCATTGCACAGTGCCTGGAACATAGTAAGCACTTAATAATTGTTTATTGCTCAATTATAGTCTAGTAGGGAGATGAATGATTTTTTAAAAAAGAATTTATTAAATGTTTACTATATTCCAAACACCATGCTATGCAAATACAAATATAAAATGTGAAATAGTACCTGTCTCTAAGGAGATTAAATTTTAACAGAGAGAGACAACATATACTGGGGCTAGTAGCCAGGAAAGGGGATTTTGGTCTGAGGTTAAAACACAGATACAAATAACTAGAATGTTCAACCTTACATTATAAGTACATTCGAAATGTTAAATGACTTGCCCAAGGTCACAAAAGTGGTGTCAGAAGTGGGATCTGAACCCACCTTCTCTGATTCCCAAGTTAATGCCATTTTCATTGTACCATGGACAAGAATGGTGCAACCCACTCTGTATTCATTCATCTATGTAAATGGTACTTTCCTTGAGGGCAGGAATGGTTTCATTCTGTGTACCTAGCACAATGTCTGGCACACAGGAGGTGCTGAATAAACGCTTGGTGACTAATTAACGTGTGGTCATCCAGTCCTCTAAAAAGGGAGAGGGATCTACTGCCTCCCAGCAGGCACCCTCTGTCCAGAGAAAGTGAGCAAATTGTAAGGAGACCGTGGACAGTTACCTGGTCTTTGATCTGGAAATCTGCCAGCTGCACTTGGTCCTGGTCTGGGGGCCCCTGGGGGCCCTATCAGTCAGTGAGATAGAGTTGGAACAGCAAATGATAAAGATGATGATGATAGCAACAACAACAACCAGACACATTTATATGGTCTATATTTTATGTTTGGCAAAAAGACTTATATACATTAGAAACTCCCCAGCTTCAGCTCTTTAATGCATCTCATTGCCATGGCAGGGATTTGTTTCTCTTGAATATAGATAGATGATATAGATATAGATGTATATATAGATATAGATATAGATAGATATAGATATAGATACAGACATAGATATAGATACAGACATAGATATAGAGATAGAGATAGATACAGACATAGATATAGAGATAGAGATAGAGATAAATACAGACATAGATACAGAGACAGAGATAGAGATAGATATAGATATAGATATAGATACAGACATAGATATAGATACAGACATAGAGATAGATACAGACATAGATATAGATATAGAGATAGATACAGATATAGATATAGATATAGATATAGATATAGATATAGATATAGATATAGATATAGATATAGACATAGACATAGACATAGACATAGACATAGATATAGATATAGATATAGATATAGATATAGAGATAGATACAGATACAGATACAGATACAGATATAGATATAGATATAGACATAGACATAGACATAGACATAGACATAGACATAGACATAGATATAGATATAGATATAGATATAGATATAGATATAGATATAGATATAGATATAGATATAGATATAGATATAGATATATTACGAGGGTTTTGTTTTTCCTTCTATTTTTTTCCAGTGGGTGAGGGTTGGGAGGGAGAAAATAGATTTTTTGGTAACTAAAAAATTAAATGAAATTTAAGAAATTAATCTCCACTGACGTGAACTACTGGGATATTTCTGGTTGACCTCCATCACCTTCCTCACCCTCTATCCCTTGACCCACGAGCAGCTTATAGGATCATAGATTAAGAGCTAGTAGGGATCTTAGAGGCCATCCAGTTCAATCTTCTCACTTTACAGATAAGGAAACTGAGGCCCAGGAAAGAGAAGTGACTTGTCCCAGGTCCTACAGATAGCAAGTATTCAAATCAGGATTCCATGTTGGGTCCTCTAATTCTCATATTGTCCCATGGGGCACTCAGCCCACAGGGCTATCCCCAGCTTGAGACCTGTTATCATTCTTTGCTCTGTCTTTATCATATATCTACTATATTGCTCAATTCTCAGTTTATTTTTGTGTACATAGGTTTCAAAGCAACTGGGCTGGAAAGGACCTTGGATGATCACCTCGTCTTTGGAGGTCTTCAAACCAAAACCAAAGAGAAGGGAGTCCTGTCCAGTACAGACTGGGCTAAATGGTCCTTAAGGTTCCTTCTAACCCTTAGCATCTATGATAGCCCAACCCCTTCCTGTTATAGATGAAGGAACAAAGGCCTAGAGAAATTTGCCAAAAATCACTCAAGCATCTTAGAGGGGTGTCATGATGGGGAGCCCTGGACCTAGATTCAAGGAGGCCTGGATTCAAATTCTGCTTCTCATATTTTCTAGCTCTGTAACCATGGGCAAATCACTTTCTCTTTCCAAGCCTTGATCCCCTCATCTTTTGGGGGGTGGGACAATGGGGGTTAAGTGACTTGCCCAGGGTCACACAGGATTCCCTCATCTTTAAAATGGGGATAATGACACCTGTAGGACCCACTTCATGAGCCCTTCTATGAGACCCAAAAGAAATCATATTTATAGAATGTGCAAACCCCCCAGTGTCAAATGCCATTTCTCCTAAGTGTGGCTATAGCTAGAGTGGAAGCAGCTGAGGGCAAGGACCATGTCTCATACTCCTTTGGAACCTCCTCAGTGACAAGAACAAGGCTGGGCTATATATATCACCCCTTTTACAAAGGGCTGCCACTTCCTATATGTAGCACCAAGGAGTTCTGGGAGCCATCTCATACCAGAGAGCTGATAGTTAAATTTTCAGTGTAAGCATTTATACCTTGGGCATCAGCAAATACCACAAATTAGGACATGGGTTTATTATTTTGTTGATTGTCTAGACTTGTGTCATTAATGCAGATTAAATTTTAAAATGTGTTGTTCTCTCTTTTTTTTGAGAGACATTGGTTAAACATTTATCAGCACATCCCTGTCTAGCACCCACCCCTTGGTGTATAAGACCCCTCCCCCCAACCCATGCCCAGTGGTTTCAAAGCTTTTTGGTGCCTTCCCATTTGTACCCCAGCTGTCTTGTAACTTGCCTCACAAAAACATTTGGTGGAGGAGGAGGGGAACAGCTTCTGAAACAAACATCTGAGTGGGTCTGCTAGAGAATGGAGGGAACCTTACCTGGGAGAACAGGCTGAGCTGCAGCATTTTGGCTGGGTGCTTGGGAGGGTCTGGAGGTCTGAACTGAGTTGGCCCGTCTCAAACCTGGGAGGGACAAAGGAAAAACCATCACTAACACTTCAAGCACAGGCCAACAAGTCCACCAGCCCCCAAGTAGCTGGACAGTCCAAGATTGGGGCTTTCCATCTTTCCTGTCCATGTTCTATCCCACTTGAAATGCCTGTCTCTGTCACCATTTTCCCTGCTTCCTCTGCCTGAAAGGGTCAATTACTGGGAATCTAAGACTTCAAAACTCAAAGAGATCTTAGAGATAAGAGTTAAACTTCTTTATTATATGGGGAGGGGGAAAACCAAGGCCCCTTCCTATCCTGTATATTTACCTTCCTCAGTGGACACATTACAGCTTGCCAACAGCCTTCTTAAATGTGGATACAATTTTCCAGGAGTGGTCTGACCAGCATAAAATTCAATGAGACAATCACATCCCTCATTCCTGGTATTGATCTTTCTCTTTTCTAATCCTTTGATTCACTGGCACACTCGCCAAAATAATCTTTCTTTCTGTTTTTGTTTTTTGCTTTTTGATGAGGCAATCTGGGTTAAGTGACTTGCCCAGGGTCACATAGCTAGCAAGTGTCAAGTGGCTGAGGCTGGATTTGAAGTCAGGTCCTCCTGACTTCAAGGCCAGAACTCTATCCACTGCACCACCTAGCTGCCTCTTTTTAAACTTTTTTTTTGGTGAGGTAATCAGGGTCAAGTGACTTGCCCAGGGTCACACAGCTAGTAAGTGTCAAGTGTCTGAGGCCAGATTTGAACTCAGGTCCTCCTGACTCCAAGGCCGGAGCTCTTTCCACTGCCCTACCTAGCTGCCCCCAAAATAATCTTTCTAATTCACATAATGATGTGACCATACCACTTCCTGGCTCAAGAATATTCAATGACTCCCTATTACCTCTAGGATAAAGCAAAATCCTCTGTTATTTAAAGCCCTTCAAATCTGGCTCCAGCATCCATTTCCAGACTTGTTATCCTGTCATTGCTTTTCATACAGTCTGTATTCCAGCTAAACTGACGTGTTGTTCCCTAGACTCAGTGTTCCAGCTCTCATCTACATGCCTTTGCATAGTCTGTGCCCCATGATGGGGATGCACCACCTCCTCCCCCCTAGGGGAGTCCCTTCTAGGCTTAGTTCAGGTGCCACTTCTTATGGATAGTCTTTTCCCTTTATACAAAGGCCCTCTCTCCTCCAAAATATCCTGATTATCTATCTGTCTGTCTGTCTGTCTGTGTCTATCTCCATGTCCATCTCTCTCTCTCTCATGCAAATATTCATAATCCCTTAGTACAAGGTAAGCCCAATAAGGTCAAGGACTGCTTTTTTCTTTCTATTTTTTCTTTCTTTCTCTTATTTTTTTTTGTATTTCTATTACTGTCACCTAAGAATGACAAAGATCATAGATTTAGTGCCAAAAAGGACCTCAGTGGCCATCTTGTTCATCCTCCTAATTTTACAGATGAGTGAATTGAGGCACAGAGAGGGAGAAGTGACTTGTCTACACAAGCATATTTTGCCTACTTTTTTTTTTTGGTCCAGATCTGTGATTAAATCAATGTAGGGAAACTCCAGGTGAGGAAACTCTTAATGAATTTCCTGGCAGCACTGGGAAGTTAAGAGAATTGCCCAGGGTCATACGGTCAGAGTATTTCAGAAGTGGGACTCAAATCCTGGTCGTCCTGACCAGGTCTCTATCCACTATACCACACTGCCTTGCACATGGTAAGTACTAAATAAATGGAACCAGTAGGTGATATAATGGATAAAATGCTGGACTTGGAGACAGGAAGACCTGAGTTTGAGAACTGGCCCAGACTCTTACCATGTGTGTGACCCTGAGCAGGTCAGTTTATTTACCTTGCTGGATCTCAGTTTCTCCATCTGTAAAATGGGGGTATTGGATTTGATGGCTTTGAAGGTCTTATCCAGCTCTAAAGCCATGATTCTTTGAGTGCTGTTATTAAATTAAATGATTTGTTGATTTAATACTTAGCAGGACCAGGACTCAAATCAATGCCCTCTGACTCCAATCCAGAGTTATCTCCACTACCCACACTTCTGTGAGACTTTTCCTCACCACCCCCAGTTATTAATACTTCTCCTTCCTCCCTCCTCCACCCCTGCCATCCACTTTGTACTAATTTTGCATATATTTTGTCTATTCTTATATGCATATGCATTATCTCCACCAATAAACACTGTTCTCTTTGTATCCCCCAGTGCTTAATACAGTTCTTGGCACATAGCAAGTGTTTAATAAATCTATGTTGATTGATTGTAGATCTCTTAATAAACTGTGTTGATCTCTTGCTAGGGGGATTCTTCAGCTGGTCCCATTAGGCTTTTCCCATTAGTTTCTCCAGCCCTGGCCTTTGTCCATATCTTCTCAGGCTTCTCCCACCCAGGTGACACTCTGGACCAGCTAACAGCAGAAATGAGCATCTCATGGACATTGGTGCTTCCATAGCTATGGGACTTACTCCAAGAGACCCAAGCAAGGCCAGGAGCTATTTGGCTTCTTCTATGTTGAAATATCAAGATGTATGTCCATGAGGAAGCCTAAAATTCTTTAGTGTTGAGTTTTTTGAGCAGATACCACCAGTGTGAAGGCGCTCTCTCATGACTGGGGTTTGTTCCAAAATTATAACTCATCCCCAGCCATTTCAAATATATTTAGACTGGGGATTACCCTGATTCATTAGCATCCACAGGCCACCAGGTGTGACTAAGCCTTTTATAACAAAGTGAGTCAGCTCTTTCTGACAGGAGGGAAAGAGTTGTAATTACATCATTCTGTGGATTTTCTGCCAGGTAGCTGGGATCCCAGAGTCCCAGAACATCAGAGCTACAAGGGATGCCAGAGGCTGCATAGTTCAATGTATGCCTGACCAGAAATCCCTCCTACAACATTCTCAAGTGGCCATCCAGGCTCCGACTTCCAGTGATGGCGAACCACTGCCTCTTGGGATTGCCCATTCCACTTTGGGACAGCTGTCACTGTAAAGACATTATTCCATACATGGATTCAAAGTCAGCCTCTGTGAAATTTCTACCCTTCTTTCTGTCAACTGGGGTCAAGCAGAAAGAGTCCAATATCACTTAATATATTTATCTATATGACAATCATGGTAACCGTCTACTAGGACCACTATTTCAGGAGGGCCCCTCAGCTATGCTTTACTTCTGACTCGACTCTCTAGACTTTTCCTTTTCCTCCACAACCCTCCTCCGCCACCTCATCCTGATTTCTGCCCCTTTTCATGTATTATCTTCCCTATTAGAATGTAAGCCTTGGAAATGGGGCCTATCTTGCTTGCATTTTTTTTTGAGGCAATCAAGGTTAAGTGATTTGCCCAGAGTCACATAGCTAGTAAGTGTTATGTGTCTGAGGGTGGATTTGAACCCAGGTCCTCCTGACTTCAGGGCTGATGCTCTATTCAATGTGCCACCTAGCTGCCCCTGCTTGCTTGTGTTTGTGTCCCTAGTGCTTAGCACAGTGCTTGGTATACAGTGAGTGCTTAATAAATGCCATCTATTTATCCATCTATCCACCTAATTATCTACCTATCCATCTGCCTAATTATCCATCCATCCATCTATCCATCTATCTATTTTTTTTTGGTGAGGCAACTGGGAATAAGTGACTTGCCCAGAGTCACACAGCTAGCAAGTGTTATGTGTCTGAAGCCAAATTTGAACTCAGTTCCTCCTGACTCCAGGAGTACTGTACCACTTAGCTGCCCCTTTATCTATCTATCTATCTATCTATCTATCTATCTATCTATCTATCTATCTATCTATCTATCTATCTGTCTGTCTATCGATCTAATCTACCTACCTATCTTTACCATAGATGTTTGCTTTGACAGAAAGTAAGCAGGGACTGTATTACATTTTTGTCTTTGTCTTTCTAGGATTCAGTACAGTATCTGCCACCTAGTAGGTGTTTAATCAACACTTGCTTATTGGTTAATTGATTCCACGTGACAACCCTTCCTGAAGGGGTAAAAGGCAATGTGGTATAGTTTATAGAACAATGGGCCTAGAGTCAGGAAGATCTGGGCTTGAATCCCACTTCAGACACTTTTTAGCTGTATGACCCTGGGTAAGTCACTTCACCTCTCTCTGGGCCTCAGTTTCCTCATCTGTAAGATAAGGGAAGGGGATTGGAGTTGATGACATCTAAATACCTTTTCAGATTTAAAACTCTGACCCTATGTCCTTGAAGACAGCTATATCTTTGAATCTTCTTCAAGCTAAACACCTCTGGTTCCTTTGACTGGTTAATTGTACTCTATATTCCATTCAAATTGAGCTACTTTTTCCAGAACATGTACCTGCCTCCACATCTTTGCTCACGCTTTCTTCCTCCTGGAGTGCCTTCTCCTCCACATTCACCCTACTAGGCTCATTCAAGCCTAGTGGAAATTCAACCTCTCCTTCCAACCTATTTCCAAGCATCCCCACCTCCTTGAAGCCTTCCCTAATTCCTTCAGCCTGATGAAGAGATCTTAGAGAGGATTTAGTTCAGCCCTTTGATTTTACAGAGAAAGATCCTGAAACTGAGAAAGGGCAAGAGATGACCCAAGTCTTGGAGTGAGGTGCCTGACCCTAAGTCTAGCATGCTCTGTCTCTTATGAGAGAGAAGAGTGCTCAGAGCGCTAAATTGGGTGGCAAATTATCTGTAGGACCTTGGGCAAGTCACTTAACTCCTATGGCCTTGGAAAACAAAGGGGGTGGATTAGATGAAGACCAGGGGGACTCCCAGCTCTAAGTGCAGTAATCTCTGCCAGAGTGCTTTGTATCTTTCTTATGTTGTTTGCTATTGTTCAGTTGTTTCAGTCATGGCATGACCCTCCATGACTCCAGCTGTGGTTTTCTTGGCAGAGACACTGGAGCGGTTTGCCATTTCTTTCTCCAGCTCATTTTACAGATGAAGAAACTGAGGCAAACAGGGTGAACTGACTTACCTAGAGTGAGTGTCTGAGGCTGGATTTGAACTCAGGCCTTCCTGACTCACTCCAGGCCAGATGCCCCTTAAAGGATAGGCTAGCATAGTTAAATCGAGCACTAAAGGATCATGAATTCAAAGGATTTTAAATCTGGGAGGGACCAGCAAGTCCAGCCTCCTATTTTACAGCTCTTGGGTCATAGGTTTTAAAGCCAGAAAATACCTCAGGGGCTCATCTAGTCACAGTAGCATGGACCGAGAGTGGAAAGGGACCTTTGCGGGCATCTAGACCAATCCTCTCATTTTACGGAGGGGGAATCGGAAGTTCAGAGAATTTAAGTGACTTGCTCAAGGTCACACTGCTTATACATGACAGATGCAGGATTTGAACCCAGGTCCTCCCACTCCAACTCCATTATTCTATGACATATCCAAATCCCTTCATCTTCATGAATGAGGAAACTGAGCCCCAGAGAGAAGTAACTTGCCCAGAGCTACACAGTTGTCAGTGTTCACAGGGTCCTAGTTTCAAAGCTGCACAGGACCTCAGAGGTCATCTGGTCTGGAAAGTGACTCGCCCAAGATCACACATTAATTAGCAGAGCCATGACTAGAACAAAGGTCCTCTGACTTCATGTCCTTCCAGCTCACTGACCTCATCGACATTCTTTTCTTGTGAATGTGAAAGAGAAAATGCCCCCTATGCTTGTTATGGGGGAGAGGGACCCTTTCTCATTGTTTAAAAAAATAAAACTACCTTGAAGTCCAGTCTTATAGAAAGAAGGGGAGTGGGGGTGGGAGGGCTTTGAGATTAAACAGGAACCAGATCTGTTGCTAAGAAGGGATAGGAGCTGGTGCGATAAGCGGCCAAGGCATGATTTCAGGTGCCGAGTAAAAGACCAGAAAACTCAGGGACTGATACTAAGCCTTAATATTCGGCCTCTCGCTTTGATGTTGACACAGCCTCGCATAGAAAGGAAAGCTAAGCTGCCATCTGGCTGGGACAAGAGGATTACCTGATTGGTATTGCCAGCAGCCTCCCATTAAATATTCCAGGCATAGCTGAGGAACTGAAAACATCTGGGATGCTTGCCAGTGGGGGAGAGCTGCAGCCAGATAAACCCGCCAACTCAGCATCTTTCAAAGCGTGGGGCCTGAGTTAGCGTTCTTTCCCGGTTCTTCTCTGGGGTTGGGGGGATTGCTTATCCCACCCTCGCCGCTGACAGCTAGCCAGGGCCTCATCCTAGAATCGCTAAGTAGGAAGGAACCCTGAAAGCCCTCCGGCCCAACCCATCCCTGAAACAGGACCCCTCTCTGTGACATCCCCAACAATCCAGCCTCTGGTTGGTAACTTCCAGGAAGAGGGAGCCCTCAGTCCTTAGGGCAGCCTGGGCCACTTTGGAAGTTTTCAAAAAACAAATCTGCTCCTGCAATTTCCACTGGCTATACCTGATTCCACCCTTTGGGATGATAAGTGTGAGAAGGAATGTGACATTTTTCCCACAAGACACAACCTGGTATCCTGGCAAAGAGCCCTGGATTGGCAGTCGGAGGACCAGTGGCATTCAAGTCCCACCCAGGATCACAGATTGAGAGCTAAAAGGAACCTTTGAAGGCTATTGGGGCCACTCCCTTCATTTTCTAGATCAGAAAAATGAGAGCCTAGGAGAGGTGATGTGACCTCTACCTCTTACTATTTGTGTCATCTTGGGGCAAGTGAATATCACCTCTCTGAGATTCAGTTTCCTCATCTCTGAAATGGAAAGATAGGGACAGGGCCTTTGATTTCATTGGTACAAGGAGCTCTCTGGCAAGGAAACTCCTCCCAAATGAGACTGGTACCTTTTAGGGTGCAGTCTTAATGCTCTTGCCTAGGACAACGAAAGTTCAGTGACTTATGCAGGGTCACACAGCAAGTATGTGTCAGAAGCAGGACTGAACCCAAGCCTCTGGGGCTGGCCCTCTATCCACTAAATCACACCAAAATGGCTGGATTGTATAGTCCATAAGATTCCCTTCAGCTCTAGATTTATAATCCTATAAATCCCAGCTAGCATGTTATGGCACTAGGTGAATCTTTGGATACAGTTCTGGGCTTAGAATCAGGAAGACCTGAGTTCAAATCTTGCCTCAGATACTTACTAGCTGCGTGACTCTGGGCAAATCACTTACCTCTGTCCACCTCAGTTTTCTCATATTTAAGATGAAAGGGTTCAATTCAACAGTCTCTAAGGTCCCTTCCAATTTTGGTCTTGGATTGAATGAGTTTTTTCTTCCTTTCTGCTACTACCACCATCCCACCAGCCCATAGCTCTCCCTTCCTTTCAGCTCTGTTCATATCCTGTGACAAGTTTGTTTCCTCCAAGAAGCTGCTTTGGGCTGATCCCCCCCACTCACTTGCTGGACTCCGACTGGCATCACCCCCAGTGGCCCCACCTGGACCATACTCCCGGCCTTCAGAATCCCTGCCTGTGTAGTCTGTTCCACTGGAGCTCATGCGAGCCTCTGAGGCCCGGCGCATTGGGGGGCCATAGCTGCCCCTGCCAGGAGCAGGTGTGGGCTCAGGACCTGAAAGACAAAGCATTTGTTCAAAAAAAGGGAAAGTGCTCATCAGGGAACAATAAGGAAGGAAGGAAGGAAGGAAGGAAGGAAGGAAGGAAGGAAGGAAGGGAAGGAAGGGAGGGAGGGAGGGAGGAGGGAGGAAAGGAAGAAGGAAGGAAGGAAGGAAGGAAGGAAGGAAGGAAGGAAGGAAGGAAGGAAGGAAGGAAGGAAGGAAGGAAGGAAGGAAGGAAGGAAGGAAAGTGGCAAGCAGAGGTGGAGGAGAAGGGATAAGAGAAACAGTCTCTCTGTTTAGTCTCTCTCCTTTCTAGTCCATCCTTCACAGAGCTGCCACAGTGTGATTCCAAAGGGGCAAGTCTGACCATGTCATTCTCCTACTCAAGAAACTTCAGTGACTCCCTACTGCCTCTAGGATAAAATATAAACTCTTAAGCCTGGCATTTAAAGTCTTCTGTAAACTGGACAGACGACCTGGGTAAAAATCCCAATTCTGTCACTTATTACCTGAGTGACTGTGAGTAAGCCAATTAACTTCTCTGGGCCTCAGTTTCCTCACCTGTACAATGAGGAGGCTGGACCAGATGACCCCGAGGGTCATTTCCAGCTTTAATTCTATGATACCTTTCTGGGCCTTAATTTCCTCCAGGCAGTGGAAAGAACCCCAGATGAGGTGTCAGGAGATCTGAGTTCATGTCTTCGCTCCACTGCTAACTCACCATGTGACCTTGAACTTTGGACACTTTCCTTCTCAGAGACTGTTTTCCCATCTATCAAAAGGAGGGCTTGGTCTGGAGAGACCTGAGATCTCTGCCAGCTCTGCCAGTCCACAATGCACCTCTGAGCCTTATTGGAGACCATCGGACCTCACTGAGATGGGTATGCTGCCTCCCAGTTGCAAAGGATGACCTTTCAGAACCAGCTCCAGATCCATGGCTAACTACTGAGCCAAGAGGTGTGCAGACCAGAGGAAGGAGATGTTTGAAACTGATGGAAGAATTTGTCTCCTGTTGGTAACTGGTATATCATGCTGCCAGATTGTTAGAAAATGCAGGATGCTGCCTTCCCCATGTAGACTGGGGGTTGACTAACTTGACAGTCTCTAATGGAGTCCATAGGAGCACATAAATCCCAGGCATAAGGGCCAAGCAATTAGATGATTAAAAAACAACAATACCAAACATCAGATCTGGAAACATCATCAGCTGTTCCGGGAGCATATCAGGGATGTACAGGGAGCCCCAAGCCACAGCAGGACAAGAAATAAAAAGAACAGGAACAGCTGTGAGCTTTGTTTTCCTCCCCTGCCTAATCCTCAGTCCTAGAAAAGGGGAGGTGCCTAGCCTGGGGGAGCCAGGACTCAGGATTCTGAAGCACCCCCCCCCATTCTAATCAGAGCCAGTCCCCCTCCAGGAAACAAACCTGATTTCTGGCCCATGCCCCTCTTGTCCTCAGCATCGCCTGGGGAAAGGAAGGAGAAGGCAGAGTCATTTTTTTTCTGGTGGTACAGGATGGACACATGGTAGGGATGACAAGGATTCCATTTGTCCCATAGCAGGGGAAACATGCTATTGTGGAAAAAAAGAACTCGACTCTGAGTGAGGAAGGCCCAGGTTCGAATCTTGACTCTGGCACTTACTAGCATGTATGGCTGAAGGCAGATCCCATCCCCTCTTGGAAGGGAAGTGACTTACTCAAGGTCACGTGGCTGTTACACAGTAGAGTCAAGATTCCAACTCAAGTCTTCTGACCCCAAATCCAATACCCTTTCCACTTTACTTTCTCTCTTGGTCAAAATGGTGTCACCACGGGATCATGGATTCATAGACTCAAAGCTCAAAGGGACCTCAGAAGCCATCTAAGCCAGCCCCCTCAAATTATGAAGAGGATTTGGGTTCAAATCCTACCTCCGACACTACCTGTGTGTCTATGGCCAAGTCATTTACATTCCTTACTTGTAAAGTGAAGGGGCTGGACCATAGGGTCTCTAAGGCACAATCTAGAACTAGATTTATGAAGGTACAGATGAGGAAACTGAGGGCCTGGCGTCAAGAAGACATGAGTTCAAAGATGGCCTCAGACACTTACTAGCTAGGTAGCCCTCAGCAAGTCACTTAACCTCTGCCTGCCTCAGTTTCCTTGGGCCTGAGGAGTCAGGAATATACCTGAGTTCAAATCCTGCCTCAGATACTTACCAGCTGTGTGACACTGGGCAAGTCTGTTTGCCTCAGTTTCCTCATCTGTAAAATGGGGATGATAATAACACCTCACCTCCCAGGGTTGCTGTGAGGATCAAACAAGATAGTAATCACGAGGTGCTTAGCCCAGTGCCTGGCACACAGTAGGCACTATATTTGTTGTTGGTGTTTTAGTTGTGTCTGACTCTCTGTTACCCCATCTGGGATTTTCTTGGCAAAGATACTGGAGTGGTTTACCACTTCCTTCTCCAAGGTACTATATAAATGTTAGTGATTATTGTCATTGATTCCTTTCAGGGTTGTCATGGGGATAAAATGAGATAATATTTGTAAAGCATTTTGAGAACTTTAAAATGCTATACAAATACCAGCTATTATTATTGTTGTTGTCCAAGATCACACAGGTGATAAGCTTCTGGGGTAGAACTTGAACCCCAGGTCCTCTGATAACAATACATTCAGTGGACTCCTCAAAGGCAGGGACTATTATGTCTCCATACCCCAACATCTGGCACACAGCAGTCACTCTTAAATGGAATCATGGCCTTATTGACCTCACAGGGTTGTTATGGGGGAAACTTTGGTAAACTTTAGGTGATTTATAAATGTGAGTCCTTATTTTTGGTCATTCTCTAAGCCATTAAAAAAAATACGGGCTGACCTTTATCCACAAAGATGGTGTGTCTGACCCATTATTGGTAGGAAGTACTCTTGGGGTTAAATAATTTCACAAGTGATTTATTTAGCATCTACTCTATGCCAGGTCCTATGCTAGGAGACAAGAATACAAGGACAAAACCAAAGGGCCCTTGCCCTCTAGGAGGTTACAATCTTCTGGAGAGAGACCAAAGGGAAAGAAGCAGAGTATGGAGTATGAGGGTGGGACTGTATGCATGGGAGCAATCTCCATTCCCTTACTAAGTGTTCTCCAGGGAGGCCAGCCTCTCCTGGGCCTGAGAAATGTAAAGAGATAAGCAATTCTGGCAGTGAAAATTCTTCCCCTGAAATTTCCCCAGTCCCACAGTTCTGTGCACCTGGAATGTCCTCCTTACCCCATTCCCCAGATAAGCATAAAAAAGATAGAGAGTGATGGGGACCAAGGGAAAATCAAAGTGTTCTTCAAATACAGCACTAAATGCCTGGAGGCATTTCTCTCTATGGGAATAGGGATGGGCTCACCCTGAGCCATCCCCACTTAGCCCTGTGTCCTTGTCCTCCAAAGCACTCATTTCTGAGATGTCTGGCTGGGGCTCAGGATGCCTCTGTGGCCCTCGAAAGAGGGCTCCCAACTGTCAGGACTGAACTTTCAAGCTTAGTCTCACTGTAAGAGTGTCTAACTCACTGAGATCACTGGCACTGGACGGAGATGAACTTTCTCAGCTAGCCCACCATTATGTCTCAAGGTCCATAAAGTATATCCCTCTGAGTCCCAAAGGGCAGTGAGCAAGAAACCCTGTCCTGTACTTCCCTAACCCCACCACTAGCTCCCATGTGTTTCGCAGGAGAGGGACCAACAGGTCAAAGGGTTCCAGTAGGACCCAGAATCCTTGAGGGCAAAGACAATTTTGGTTTTCTCTTTGTATTCTCGGCAAGGGCACGGCACACGGTAGGTGCTTAATAAATGCTTGTTAAAATGAGTTAACTCCAAGTGCACTTCTTAATAACAATGGGTCAGTAGCACCATCTTTGTATATGAAGGATCACCCATTATTTTTTAGCTGAATCGAACTGAAATCGTTGGTGAAAAAGTCAGTAGCACGAGGAAGAAGGAAATGCAGAAAACATGGGGAATCCACCGGGCGGACACAAATGATACCTGACATTTACAAAGGACTTTTATGTTTGCCAAGTGCTTTGGGATAGTGCTTCGGATCTGCAGTCTCACTGATATAGGGAGATCATCCTCTCATGCAGGTTAGAGGAGAGAAGCGAGAAAAGGGAAGGGAGTAAGTGTTACATAGAGCCTGACCTGTATCAAGCACCGTACTAAGCACTTTTAACAAATATCTCATTTGATCTCACAACAACCCTGAGAAGTCTGTGTTATTATTATTGTTGCTGTCTGATCATTTTTTAGTGTGTCCGACTCTTCACGACTTTATTTGGGGTTTTATAGACAGAGATACTGGAGTGGTTGGCCATTTCCTTCTCCGGCTCATTTGACAGATGAGAAAAAGGCAAACCGAGTGAAGTGACTTACCTAGGGTCACACAGCTAGTAAATGTCTGAGGCCAGATTTGAACTCAGGAAAATGAGTCTTCCTGACTGCAGGCCTGGCACTCTAACCACTGCACCACCTAGCTCTATTATTATCCCCATTTTATACTTGAGGAAACTGAGTCCAACAGAGATTAAATGACTTGCCTAGGGTCATACAGCTAGTAAGTGTCTGAGGCCAGATTTGAACTTGGGTCTTCCTGACTCCGGGCTGAGTGTTCTATCCACTGCCTCACCTTCTCTACCTATTATAATCTTACAGCATTTGCCTAGAACAAACAAATGACTTGCCTGGGGTTACGTGGCCAGTCAGCATGTGTCAAAAGGGGGACTAGTTTCTTGACCTCAGGGTCTAGTCCCTACTCCAGGCTCCCTCCCCAAGCAAGGCTTTGGCCATCCTAGAGCTTGTTGTATCTGCTAGAGGAGAATACCAGGCAAAAGAAGCCGAAAGGACAGCCACCCAACATGTGATGGCTGTGGCAGGCATAGAGACTCTTGTTATTAACCCATTGCACTTGCAGGAAGGGAAGCGAGGAGAGGCAAGGATCCCCTGCAGACTCAAGGCTGAAGGGAAGGTTGGAAAGAAGTTGAAGGAGAAGCTTTGGGGTATCTAGAAATCTAAAAGCCAAGGACTCTCAGGATGTTACAGAACAACCAGGAGCCCTTGGCAAGCAGAGCTTGGAGTGAGAGGGCAGGACTGCATGCATGGGGGCAGTCCCCATTCCCTTACCATGTTCTCCAGGGAGGCCAGCCTCTCCTGGCCCTAAGAAATATAAAAAGATAAGCAATTCTGGCATTAAAAATTCTTCTCTCCCTAGTCCCATGCCTTTGTTCACACAATTCTGTGCATTTGGAATGTCCTCCCTACCCCTTCCCATCTCCTTTCATTAAAGTCCCATCCATCCTTTACCTCCTCCACAATGACTTCCTTAGCTACTCCCTCTCCCCCAAAGGACCTCTCCTTCTTTTGCCCTCTTAGAACTTTGAGATTCTCTTATGCACTGGTTAAAGCTTCCAGTTCCCCAAAAGTTCCACTCTGGAAACAAGTGCCAGCCATTTGGAATGATAACCATAAAAGCAGGGACTAGATAAGGCTGTGATTGAGAGCCAAGGACGCTGAGTCCCAGTCCAGTGCTCAAAGCACTGACATATTTCTTCACATCTGGAGAAATCTGAACTCTGGGTTATGGTCTGGGGTTCTAGCTCCATAATAAAGCAACTTGATCCAAGGTGGAAGGCTGCCCTCCCATCTATCTCACCTCGGCTGGGTGCTCGGGGATGGTGCTTGGGCTCCAGGGTGGGTGGCTCTGAGGAGCTGGGCTCAGTGGGTGGCTGCTGAGGCTTGGATTTCTTCACTGGCATGGGCTGAGGGAGCACTTGTTTGGGGAAGCCCTTGAAGAACCATGCTCCAGAGCGCTTCCAAACCTGAAGGAAGAAAAGCAAGTGGTACAGGAGGTGATGAGCTAGCTCAGCCTGGGAATGGAACTCTAGCCTTCTTTCCCTATTTACTTTAAAATAGAAATACATATGCATATATATACAAACTGTGAACAAAAAGTATATATACATATACATGTATGTATACATACATGTATATGAAATTAATTGCTTGATAAGGTGATATCTGAGAATGGGACTTGGACTTATGAACTATAGCATAAAACACAGGGACAACAGATTCCTGACCAGAGATGAAGCACACTTAACAAACACTGGATAAGAATGTATTTGCTGAGTGTCTTGCAAATCTAAGCAGAAGAGCTTTTGCCTAAAAAAGGTAGAAAATTCCCCAAGCTAGACATTACAGAAAGTAGCTATAATGAAGAAAGACAAAATCCAAGAAAGGAGCAAGTGGTAAAATCCATGACCTGAAATGTTTATACACAAGTGCCCCAAGTTTAGAGAATAAGTAACAGGAATTTGAGATTCTAACATAAGGAGATAAATCTGACTTCATAATTATTAGTGCAGTTCAGTAGGACAAAACTCATGACTGGACTATGGTTCTGGATGGGTATAGTACACCTTATTTAAAAAATGTTGTGGGGGCAGCTAGGTGGCACAGTGGATAGAGCACCAGCCCTGGATTCAGGAGGACCTGGGTTTGAATCCGGCCTCAGACACATAACACTTACTAGCTATGTGATCCTGAGCGAGTCACTTAACCCCCATTGCCCAACCAAAAAACAAAAAAAAAATGCTGTGGGTATATTTACACACAGATATATGTATGTGTGAATATACATACCCATATAATCTCCCCGTATAATCTCTCTCTCTCCATCTATCTTTCTTTTTGATCTATCCCTTCATCTATCTATCTATCTATCTATCTATCTATCTATCTATCTATCTATCTATCTATCTATCTACCTTCCCCTGGTACTTTTCTAGCTCCATGGGAGTAGGGAAAGGGAGGTAGTGCAGTATTATATATGAATATAGCATACTCAGGTGAGGAAATCCAGGAACTAGAGTAGGAAAGCATGGTGAAGAATATTTGGGTGAAAGTCGATGGAGCTAGAAACATGTGTTTTTGTAATTGAGAAAGAAGAAATAGATGAGGGGGTTGGGAGACATAACAAGCCTGGAACAAAGTCAGGAAAGACTAATGATGGGGGACTTCAATTATCTATAATAGTATCTTAATAATAATAATACCTAACATTTATATAGTGCTTACTATGTGTCAGGCACTGAGCTAAGCACTTTACAATATTAGCTCATTTGATCCTCACAAAAGCCCTGGGAAGCAAGTACTATTATTTATCCCCATTTTGTAGATAAAGAAATTGAGGCAAATGGGAGTTAAGTCACTTGCCTGTGGTCACACAGCTAATAAGTGTCTGAGGACAGATTTGAACTCAGGTCTTCCTGACTTCCAGAAATTCTAACCAAATTTGTGGTCAAACTGTATTTCTTTTTTAGGCTTTTCTTGTAGGTGTTTTGTTATTTTTTTTATTATTCTCCTCTTCTGGGTTTATATCGTGGGCATCCCTGGCACCCTAATACTCTTTATCGTCTTCTGTTTACTCATTTTCTAGCCTCACTTTTAGTATTGGGACTTTGTGTTAGGCTAGACTCTATACAATGTGTATATATACATGCAATATTTTTCCAAACCACCATGACCCTGTGTGCTCCTGACCTGACTAATCTGGAATCCTGATGTTCTGTTCTCTAGGCACTGAGTTCTGTACTCTTCAGGGATCACAGGGGCATCTTGGGCCAGGCTACTGCAAGTTTTCAGAAGGCCTTATTTTATATGGATTGATTGAGGACATGATCTGAATCATCACCTTTCTGGACTACCCAGGCTCTAGACACTTATTTGAGTTTCAGGAGCACAAATGAAGACTTGCCTCTCAACATAGAGATTCAATAGACAGTTACTAGCTCCAGTCTCTGATAGCTAGCTAGAAAGCCAATTGTCCCTGTTCTTAGCCCCTGGAATGAGTCATCAATCCTGCTCTGGGATCAGAGCAATAGCACTGTGACCCTGTTCAGAGCCCAGGGGCTTAGTCTGAATTCTCAGCCTACCCCTCTTCCATAGTTCCTGCCCTGGTCATTTGCTTCTGGATTGAATTCATGATCTTGGGATAGGAAGATTTCTCTGATTTTTCCTTAGATTCTCAGTCAATCTCAATCGATACTCAGTCTGGTGCTCATTTAGATATTTAATTGTAGTAGCTATAAGGGAGCTTGGGCAACTAGGTGGTGCAGTGGATAGAGGGCCTGGCCTGGAGTCAGCAAGACTGAGTTCAAATCTGGCCTCAGACACTTACTAGCTGTGTGACCCTAGGCAAGTCACTTCACCCTGTTTACCTCAGTTTTCTCATTTGTAAAATAAGCTGAAGAAGGAAATGGCCAACTCCTCCAGTATCTTTTAGAAGAAAACTCCAAATGGGGTCAAGATCACGAACAGTTGGACACGACTGAGCAATGACAACAACCAAATGGGGGAGCTGGTCTGTCCTGCTTCCTACTACATCATCTTTGCTGAACTAACAGGCTTTTAAAATCTAGACATTGATTGGAGTGTTCTCTCTGTCTCTGTCTGTCTGTTTGTCTCTCTCTCTCTCTCCTTCCCTTCTCTCCCTCCCCCCAAAGCAAAGCAGTTAATAATTTATGGACTTGACTTACTGATAGTTTCATCCTTCAAAAACTGAAGGAAACTTTATTCTGGATGTCTTGATTTCATTTTACTTGGACCTGATTCTCTCCAGAAAGAAGGAGCTCATTGTTGGGGTGGTAGTTACGGGAGCCTTGGGTGAGGGAAGAGGAAACAACCACTCCCTCCTTGAGTTTAAATAGAGGAAAAGAAATCCAAGCATAGCCTGACATGCCTCCTAGTTTACAGGAAAGTGGGTTTCACAGGGTGTAGAAAAAGGGAAGGTAGGATCCTATGGAATAAAATTCTACAGGGCAAGTCAGCTCAGGAGAAATGTGAGATGCTCAAGAATGGAATTCTCAAGACAGAGAGACAACTCCTATGAGGTGAGGGAAAGGCAATATCTGAAGAGACCATATGGATGCACTGGGAATGCACCAACCAACTTAGATTTTCAAAAGAAATCTAAAGAAGATGGAAGGGAGGCCAAGTACCAGAAGACAAATATTAGCGTAGCATGATCATGCAAAAATGGCATCAGGAATGCTCAAGCTCAGATTGAGCTGAGGCTGGAGGGGGAAGGTAATGACAATAAAAATGGAATTTTCTTAGTTCTCTTACAAGAAGAATGACCTTTGCACTGGAAATGATATAACAAAAATGGCTGAAAAGAAACTGATATTCCAAATAAGTAGAGATAGTAAGAGAATGCCTAGCTGCCTTTGATGAATTTAAATCACCTGGTCCAGATGTACTATGCTAGGGGCAGCTAGGCAGTGCAGTGGATAGAGGGCCTGTCTTGGAATCAGGAAGATCTGAGTTCAAATCTAGCCCCAGACACTTGCTAGCTGGATGACTATGAGCTAGTAACTAAAAAAAAAAATAACCCTCTGCTTGCCTCAGTTTCCTCACCTGTAAAAAGGGGGTGGGGATAATAACAGCATCTGTCTCACAGGGCTATTATGAGAATTAAATGAGATAATAATTGTAAAGCACTTAGTACAGTGACTGACATATAGTAAATACTATATAAAAGTTAGCTATTACAGGCATATCTCATTTTGTTGTGCTTCACAGACATTGCATTTTTTCACAAATTAAGGGTCTGTGGCAGCCCTGTGCTCTATCACACCATTTTTCCAACTGCATCTGCTCACATAATGTCTCTGTGTCACATTTTGGTAATTCTCACAATATTTTAAACTTTTTCATTATTATTATATATTATATAATATATATATATATATTATATAATATATATATATTATTATATCTGTTACGGTGATCTGTGATCAGTGATCTTTGATGTTACAATTGTGATTGCTTTGGGGTGCCATTCCACACCCAAATAATATGGAAAACTTAACTGATAAATGTGGTGTGTGTTTTGACTGTTCCACCCACCTGCTATTCCTGTCTCTCCTTCTCCTAGGGCCTCTCAATTCAACGAGACACAACGATATTGAAATGAGGCCAGTTAATTTCCCTACAATGGTTTCTAAGCTTCCAGTGAAAGGAAGAGTCAATCAATGGGGCAAACTTCATTGTTGTCTTATTTTAAGAAATTACCACAACCTTCAATATAACCTGCAGCAACCAGCACCCTGATCAGTCAGCAGCTGTCAACATCAAGGCAAGACCTTCCACTAGCAAAAAGATTACAACTCACTGAAGGCTCAGATGATGGTGAGCAGTTTTTAGTAATAGAGTACTTTTAAATTAATATATATACGGGGGGAGGGGTTAGACAAAACTATTGCACACTTAATAGACTACAGTATAGTGAAAACATAACTTTTATATGTACTTGGAAACCAAAAAAATTCATGGAATTTACTATATTATAATAGTCACTTTTTGAAGTGTTTTGGAATTGAACCTACAACATCTCCAAAGTATGCCTGTATTTGTATTACTACATCCTTGGGTCCTGAAAGAACTAGCAAACATGTTTCCTGAGCCACTGCCAATGAATTTTTAAAAAGGGAGAGATATCACAAAATTGAAGAAGCACAAATGTGTAAATTGCAGAGGCGTGGTTGGACAGCAGTGGTGCTGAAAAAAGATCTGGGGGGTCTTAGTGGACTGCAAGCTCAGTATGAATCAATAGTATGATGCGGCAGCCAAAAAAGCTAAGGAGACCTTGGGTTACATTGAAAGAGGCAGAGCTTCCAGGCATAGGGATGTGTTCATCCCACTATATTCTGCCCTCATCAGACCTTATCTGGAGTTCTGTATTCAAGTCTGGGAGCCATGGCTTAAGAAGGACATTGAAAAGCTAGCAAGTGTGAACAGAATGGGGCAGTCAGGATGACAATGAGCCTTGATTCCATGTCAGGTGAGGATTGGTTGAAGAAAGTGGAGAAGAAAACAGGGGAGCCATGAGAGCTCTCTCCAAGTATTTGAAGGGCTCTCATATGGAGAAAAAACAGTCTTGTCCTTTGTGACCCCAAAGGGCAGAACCAGGAGAAAGTTGTATTTATGCTTAATATTAGAGAAAAGTTCTTAACAGTGAGAGCTGTTCCCAAGTAAATGGGTTGCCTCGAGGGGCAGTAGATTTTTGCTCCTCAGAAGACTTCCACAAAGATTCAACGACCTCCTGTTGGTACTTTATAGTGGGCAGCTCCTTTCAGGTCTAGATTGGACTAAATGATGGCTGAGGTCAGCTTCCAACTCTCAAATTGGTGATTCTGTGATTCTTTTAAAGTAGAGGTCTCTCTGAGGCCACACATAGGATGTGGCCTCCTCTCCTCTTCTGGGCCCCATGATCTTCCCTACTAAAGTGCTCCAAGAGGCCCAAGGCATGAGGGAATCAGATCCTATCCTGACTCTGTGTCATTTCTGGCTTAGTCACCCAGCAGGGGAGGGGGATGGAGGCCAGAGAATTACAGAATTTGAGAGGTGGAAGGGACTCAGTAACCAGCTAGTCTAACCCCTGCATAAAAGGAATCTTCTCTATAGCATAGCCTCTTGTGGCTGTATGGACTATTTGTGCCTGACCTATGGTAGAACCCTCTGAGCCTACATTGATCTGATCAGCTGTGGTCAGACCTTGACCCCAACACAGTGATGTCATTTCGGTACTTCTCAAGAATGAAAGACAACAACTTCCATGTCAGCTCTGCTTGGAAGATCTCCAAGAAAAAAGAAGTCTTCATGTGGAGACTGAAAACCACTAGTCCAGTTTATTATGGAGGGAATTCCTTTTGTGTCCACTGAGGCACATTTGTCAGTGTCCTAGCACACAGGTTCAGGGAGGAGCAACAAGGTAGCTACAGTGAGAAGAAAAAAGGACTATACCATCTGCCTTTTCCCCCATTTCTCGTACTCTCTCCTGTCAACAGTACCAGATATATAAATTGGTGTTAATTGATTGATTGAATTGTTTTGAAATGGCTAAATAAAAATCTATATTTCAGATTTCCTTCCTTCAGAAAGGAAGAGGAGGGAGAGAGACAGATAGATAGAGGGAGATAGAAAAGAGGAAAGAAGTAGAGAGTAGGGAAGAAACAGACAAGGAGAGAAAGAGGAGATCCCATGAGAGAGTAGGGAAGAGGGAAGGATGGGGGAAGAAAGAGAGAGGGAAGGATGGGAGAGAGAGAGAGTGAGAGAGAACATCTGAAGAGGGTAGAGGAGATAGAAAGACAAGGAGAGGAGAAAGGACAACAGCAGGAAAGAAAAGGAGATATAGAAAAACTAGGAGGGATAAAGGGAAAGAGAAGAAGGAAAGAAAGAAGGAAGGAAGGAAGGAAGGAAGGAAGGAAGGAAGGAAGGAAGGAAGGAAGGAAGGAAAGGAGGGAGGAAGGAGGAAGGAAGGAAGGAAGGAAGAAGGAAGGAAGGAAGGAAGGAAGGAAGGAAAGGAGGGAGGAAGGGAGGAAGGAAGGAAGGAAGGAGGAAAGGCCAAAAGATAAAGAAGGAAAAAGATATCAGCTGCTTTTTCAGCAAACACTCCCAATTCCCCCTTGGCTGTCTCACAGAATTGCAGGATTTTAGAGACGGATGGACCTCCGAGGCAACGTATTCCAACTCATACCTGAACAAGATTTCCCCTGCTCCAACCTATTTGGTTATCCAACCCCCTCATCATTCCTAGTTCTGCCGTCTGGAGCCAAGCAGATTAAGGCTAATACCTCTCTTGTATGACAGCCTTCACATACTCAAATAGAGCTATCTTGTCACCCCCTGAATCTTCTCTTCTCTAGGCTAAATATCTTAAGTTCCTTCAACTATGCCTGTGATATAGAATCAGGGTCCTTCACTATCCTGATGGTCTTCTCTGGACACTCTCAGTTTTTCCATGTCTTTCCTAAAATGTCAAACCAACAATAAGCACTCATTTAGCATGTACTATGTGCCAGGCACTGAGCTAAGCAATGGGGATAGAGAGAGAGGCAAAGCAGTCCCTCCCCTGAAGGAGCTCATTCTAGGGGAGACAACAACAGGCAAAATGTGGTGCACAGAATTAAAGACAATGCTCCAGATGTGGGAGTGCTGTGTAAACAGCTAACTGACATAGGGAGGCTGGCTGGTATCCAGCCTCAATGCATCCATCTTCTTATTGATGCCAATGCCTCGGGTCACTGGGACCCAGGGGTATTTAGGGCTTTAATGGAAACTTAGACAATGGATGTGAAATCTTAATTTCCTTGCCTCCCTTCCCCTTACTCAAAAATTAGGGAACTGGATTGGAGAGGGTCGGGAGCCAGCAAGGCTGGACTCAAAGCGGATCACTCACCTCTCTTTGCTCGCTGCAAATCTTGCAAAGCCAGATGGAATGTGGGCGACTGTTGGAGGTCTCCACTCCACACTTGGTGCAGACATTCTAGGGGCAAAACCAGTCAGAACATGCATTAGGTTTGTAAGACTCAGATCAGGGCTGGTGGGGACAGTGGGGAGGAGAAGGGAAGAGGAATGCATATGACATCTCTCCCTCATTCAAGTTCTGATGGATGCAAAGAGCTAGTGGAAAGAACACTTACACTTGAGTCAGAGGACCTGACTTTGAATTCCAGCTCCACCACTTATTACCTGTGTGACCTGGACAAATGACTTAACCTCTCCAGGCCTCTGTTTCATTATCTATAAAATGCAGGGTTGGAATAGATGCTGTCTATGGTCCCATCCAGCACTAATCTCATGGCCCTATGAGGTCCACCTCAGACTGACAGCTTCCAGGTGGAATCATGCCACCCAAGACTCTGCCCTGGGGGTCCCCATTGCTTCCCTTGGGTCAGCCAGACACAGGAGCTCAGCAGAGAAGGGGGAGGGGCCCAGGAGGAGGAAGGCATTACCTTCTTGCAGTCCTCACACACCACGCAGGAGGAGCCCAGAATTCCCAGTTGTTCCCCACACAGGATGCAGCGGTTTACCCCATCTCCAGCCACATTCTTTCGCATGTTCTCCAAGCGATCCACCAGGCGCCTGAAATGGGAGAGAGTGGGAACATGGCACTTGAAGGTTCACAGAGACCCGAAGGTGTGCACATCAAGTGGAGCAGGTCAATGAGAGTTTTGCCTCAAGGCCACAGCATGGCAGTGGAGTGGGGGGCACAGGCAGTTACTTCTTCTGGTGGCTCTCTAGCCCAGGCCTTCTTAAACTTTTTCCACTAGAGACCCCTTCAGTGCTTCCTAAATGGTGCCTCACGACCCCATAATTTAAGAAGCACTGCTGAGCCTGCTAGCCTTGTATCTAGCGATCTGCTGGCTCTATGCTGTGTATAACTGCCCTTGGCATGCCCTTGTCCTTTCCCCAGAATCTATGTTCTCATCTCTTTCTAGGAAGCTGGAGGGGGCCAATGCTCCCAACAGGGTCTAGGACTAGATTTTCAGGGGGGTTGGCTACCCACTCTCCTAACAAAACTACACTCAAATCGGGCAGATTGGATGATGTAAGCCTCAGTGTTCTAAAATTAATTGACACTGGCACTGGAATTCTTAGTTTAGCTCTGACACCAATACACACACACATATATATACACATGCCCTACCAATTTATTTTTTTAACACTTGGGTGTTCGCTTTCATTAATATCAATGTTTTCTCTACCCATGTAAATCACAATCCTCTAGAAAGCTAGCAGACAGCCTTTGAAAGTTGCCGTAGCTCAAAATTCATTACCCTGGAGTCAACCCAGTAGTAAGCCTTCCTAAACTTAGAGAAGCTGGTTTTTGGACAGCATAAAGTCCATTGCTGGGGCTGTATCTAAAGCTTTGGGAGATCAGAGTAGCTTTTGAGAACACAGTGTCTCTCCTCTATGCTACAATGAGGTATCAGAGTAGGGTCTTAGTGGAAGTCATAATTTCAGCCATTGGTAAATGGCAGTTAAAATAAAATTATACATTTTCTGTTTAATTGTCATTCCCATGTTGGCAACTTGGAAGACTACATATTTATTGAATGAGATTATTTGGTAATAGATATGGAGCTATTGGAGATCACCTTGTCCAAATCCCTCATTTTACAGATGAGGACACTGAGGCCCAGAGAGGTCAGACAACTTGCCTAAGATTGGTTACACAGGTAGGAAGGTGGAGAGCTGGGATTTGAACCCAGGTTCTTTGAACTCAGGTACTTTGCTGAGCTCCAGTCCTGTATCCCCAACATGATGACCTTTTATCTGTTATGGCAGCCTGCCCCACTATCAATCTGACTTATCTTTGATCTCTCCCTGTCTACTGGCAGCTTCCCTACTGCCTGCAAAGATGCTTATGTCTCCTCCATCTTCAAAAAACCCTCACTTTATGCATTCATCCTCATTAGTTTCTTTCTTCTTCTTTTTGTGGCTAACCACCTTGAGAAAGCCACATACAAATAAATGCCCACTCATGTTTTCCTCTCACTTCCTTCTTAAATCTGTATGGTCTGTCTTCAAACTGTATCATTCATCTAAGAATGATCTCTCCAAAGTTACCAATGATCTCTTCCTTACCAAATCTAATGTTCTTTTCTCCAACCTCACCCTTCCTGACCTCTTTGCAGCCTTTGACACTGTTGAACACTCTCTTTTCCTGGATACTCAGTCTCCTTTGCTGGTTCTTCATCCGTGGCATGTCCAATAAACTTGGTGGTCCCACAGGACTCTGTCCTTGAACCTCTTCTCTTTCTATACTCTCTGTTTTTGTTTTTGTTTGTGTGTATGTAGGGCAATCAGGGTTAAGTGACTTTTCCAGGGTCACACCGTTAGTGTCTGAGGCCAGATTTGAACTTAGATTTTCTTGACTCCAGACCCAGCACTCTATACACTCTGCCACTGAGCTGCCCCTCTCTCAGTGATCTTATCAGCTCCCACGGTTTCAACTGGCATCTGTATTTGGATGATGCCCAAATCTATATATCTAGCTCTAACTCCTCTCCTGAGCTACAATCCCTCATCACCAACTGCCTTTTGGACATCTAGAATTTCATGTCTTATAGACATCTTAAAGTCAACATGTTCCAAACTGAACTAGCCTTTATCTTCAAACTCTCCCTTCTTCCAAACTTTTTAATTGCTGTCTAAGGTGCAGTATCCTCCCAGACACCCAGGCTTCCAATTTCAGTGTTATTCTTGATACACACTCACCCCGCATATCCAATTTATTGTCAAATCTTGTTGCTTCTATCTTCACCACATTTCTCCTGAATGTCCCCTTCTCTCCTTTGATGCTGTCCCCACCCTGGTGCAGACCCTTATCACCTTATGTCTGGACAGTTGCAATAGCCTGCTGGTGGGTCAGCCCTCTCCCCACTTCAATCCACCCTCCATTCAGGCACCAAAGTGACTTTCCTAAAGTACAGATGTGACCACATCATTCCCCCTACTCAAGAAAATCCAGTGGCTCCTTGTTACCTCCAAGATCAAATACAAAATCCTCTGTTTAGCATTTATTCCCTGGCCTTTTCCCACTTTTTCAGTTTTCTTAGATTTTACCCTTTTCCAATCACTCTACAATCTAGCAACATTGGCTGACTTCCAGCTCCTTCAGCCTGATATGCCACCTTCCATGCTCGTGCTTTTGCGCCATCTGTGCCCCATGCCTGGAATACTTTCCCTCCTCACCTCTGACTCTAGCTTCCTTGGATTCCTTCAAGATTGAATTCAAATCCCACCTTTCCTCTCATTCTCTTCTTAACTCCCTACAATCTGGCTTCTAACCTTATTCAACTGAAACTTATCATTCAACCCTATTTAAATTTTGTAGCAGGACTTTACCATTCTTCACTCCCCCACATCTCCTCTTAGTGGCTAGTACCTTTCCCTTTGAGATTGCTTTCCTTCTAGTCTATTTATTCAGTGTTCCAAAAGTCTGAGTGCAGTTTTAATCTTTTGAAATACCCATGAGTGTGTGTGTGTGTGTGTGTGTGTGTGTGTGTGTGTGTGTAGTTTTATGCCCATAGTTATTTGCAAGTTGTCTCCCCCATTAAAATGTGAGTTCCTTGAGGGGAGGGACAGTGTAGTCACCTCTTCTGTTTCTCAGTCCTTAGCACATTGCCTGGCACATAGCACATAAGTGCTTGGATAAATATTGGACTTTTCCACTTGGATGTCCCATAGACATTTCAAACTGAGCATACCCAAAACATCTTTCTCCTCTATAGCCCCCTCTCCTCCTAACTTCCCTCTTTCAGTTGAGGGCACCATTATTCTCCCAGACATCCAGATTTGAAACCTGGGAGTCATTCTTTGACTCTTAACTTTCCCTTCCCTTCCTATTCAATCAGCGGTTGATTCTTGCAACTTTTCTCTCCACAGGATTTCTCATATCTGTCTCCATCTCTTGATGTACACAATAATCACCTGGTTCAAAACTTCATCACCGTTTCCCTAGATGATTGCAGCAGGCTCCTAACTGGCATCCATGGATCCATGATCTCCTCTCTCCATCCTTCACCCAGGTGTCAAAGTGCCATTCCCAAAGCACAGTGCTGACCATGTCCTCTTCCCAGTTCCTGAAATTCCAGTGCCCTTCTATTGCCTCCAGGATAAAACATAAACTCCTATATCTGGCATTTACAGCCCTTGACAATATGGTGCCACTCCATCTATTATACATTATTCTATTTCACATATTCTATGTTACAACCAAACTAGCCTGTTTACTGTTATCTGTACATCATATTGTGTCTCCCACGTCAATGCCTTTGAAGATGCTGTCCCTCATGCTTAAAATGCCTCACCTCTGCCTCTTAGAATTACTATTTTCCTTCATGGATCAGCTCACATGTCATTTCCTATACAAACGTACATACATACATACATACATACATACATACATTTCCTATACATCCTGATCCCACCACCAGTGATTTATCCTGACCTGGCCCCCAAATTCCTTTGGATTAATTTTGTATATATTTGGTAATTACTTATCTGGTATATGTTGTCTCCCACACCATCCTCCTAAACATAAGTGACTTATTTTTGTTTTTGTATCTCTAGCACCTGATATAAGGTAGGTTCTTAATAAGTGTTTCCTGAATGAATGAATGAACATTCCTGAGAGGTGGTCAGGGGAACGATAATCAATCAACCAGTAAGCATTTCTTAAGTATCTACTATGTACGGAGCACTGAGCTAGGGGTTGAGCATACAAAACTAGTCCCATTTTACAGATTAGCAAATTGAGACTCAGACAGATGATGGGGTTTGCTGAGGTACTCGGTTTCCCCCTCCCCATCCCAGCAGGACACTGTATACAGAATCTAAACACATATTTCCAACTAAGGAATTAGTAGTGGATGTGAAGGTAATGACAATCCATGTTTAACAATAGAAAACAAAAACTGGGAGAGGGGAGCTTCCCTCATTGCCAACATGCCCAGCCCTTTCCCCAGTCCTCCCTGGTGCCCACCACCAACCCTGAAATCGGTGTAACATCAAATGTTGAAAATAGGACAAATTCAAACACAGAGTTTTTGTCTTTCTACTGCCTGTCAGAAGAGACATGTGGCCGCTGGAGGCAATCACAAGCCCATGGGCCTCTATGATGGGCTGTGACCCAGATCTGACAAAATCATTTAAGGCAGGGAGCTCTGGAGAGCCGTCTGGAAAGCTGACAGCAGGCTTCCAACCCTTCTCTCAGCCTCTCTGACCACCCTGGTGCCCCAGTGTCCTGTCAGTTTCAGGTCTGAGAGATCTCCATCCTCCTCTGCATCAGGAGCCAGGGATTGAAAGGACCTGGGCAGTTTGTGCTGCCCAAGAATGCTTCTTTTCAGAGCTAGGGCACAAATATCACATTTTCCTCTTGCCCCAATGCTTTGAGTACTAAGAACACTGAGATTCCCCTGCCTCCCTCCAACCTCCCCCACTCCCACCTACATCAAACATCATATAGCCAAACAAAAGACCAGGCTGTGGAAACCAGGAGAGGCATGGAAGAGTCATTTCCCCCATCTAAGCCAGACTGAAAGGACCGGAGGTAAAGGTGGGGGGTAGGGGCTGAG